ATATTTAAACAACATTGACACCTCCTGTTATTAATCACTATTTCTAACAAAAAAAATTCATCTAAAATATTAAAAAATGTCCCTACATAAACTCCAAACAATCTTTTTATATAAAATTCGATTAAAATTTAAGTCGATTTTAATTTATTTTTCTACATATTAAAATTTGAGTTGATTAAAATTAGTTTTTTTATATATTAAAATTTGATTCCAACTGATTAAATTTTTTTTTTTTAAGTACAAAAATTAAAGTCAATTAAAATTTATATTTTTTATGTATTAGAATTTGAGCCGATTAAAACTCAACGTGAGTTGATTAAAATTGGGAAAAAAAATATAATTTTTAATCGAATTGAATTTTAATTAGTTTAAATCAAATTTTAATGGATAAAAAAAATTTTAGAAAACAGAGGGATTCTCATTGAAGATATGCTTATCTAGAGGTGGTGTGGATGAAGTTTTTCCTCTAATATATCATGAGCAATTTAATAAAATTACAAGGTGTGTCAGTCAAAATTCAAAAAATAAAAGAGGTATTTTTAAAAATACGGTCAACTAAAAAGGAGGTGGCTGAAAATTTTCCTAATGTTTATTTCAGTCAATTACATTCTATCAATTGGTAGGTCCATACGAGCCTTATGTTTTCTTTCTAATAATCAATGTAACAGTTACAATACATTAGCAGTGAGCCTTATATTTTCTTTCTAATATTCAATGTAACAGTTACAATACATTAACAGTCTTACGTTTTGTAATTGTCTAATAAAAACATTAAAAAATAGATAAAGTTGACCCATTTTTTTACATGAAAATAATATTTATATTCTATTTAAATGTAGTGAGTTGTATGAGCTTTAAATCTTATATAGTAATTTTTAAATATATTTTAAATTACATATGACAGTCTCTCAATCAATTCTCAATATCCTTAGAAACTAACACCGACTAAACTCCCAGCTCATTTAAACTCCTCACTATTCTTACCCATTTTCCATAAAATACTAAAATTTTGTAATATTGAATTATAAAATAACACTACATTAATCTGATCAAATCAAATCATTCCACTATATAACTATTCCATATAACTACTTTAAATTTGAATTTTTCATTCTCTTCAATTTAGCACAATAATAAACAACTTTTCAATAATAAAAGGCGTGGGACGAGTGTAGATGGAGATGAGAAATATTAAAAATATCGTGCATCGCACACGATGCCCTTAATTATATATTATATAAATGATTGATTATTGAATTTTATGAATCTTACGTGCTCTTATATTCACTTATTAATGAATAATTATATCATATATCACTATTCATGTGATCTAACCATTATGCTTATTATTTTATAAATGATTTGGCATGGTGAAGAACATGAATCCCATGTGAAAATTTAAATATGCAGGATTTAAAGGACCATAGAAATACAATCCACCCACCCACTCGTGTCACCGTCCAAGCATGATCCACATGTATTTGAAAACAAAGGGACCGACACTACTGCAACAAGCAGACCGAGGAGAAAATACTTGGTACTCAACACTAATAAAAAATAGTCACCTCAATAATTTGTCAGGCAGTGTTAGATAAGTGTCAAGTCAGCGAAAATAAAGTTATTTTTTAATAGTAATGTTATATTGATTAAATTTTGAAACTAAATTTCAAGCTTAAATAACATGACAGTTGATTATTTGAAATTTTTATTGGAGCCTAAATGACATGACACCAATTAAAGAAGCCCAAATCAACTATCATGTCATTTAAACTTCAAATTTAATCTCAAAATTTAGTCAATATAGCATTACTGATTTCTTAATGTCCGTCTCTTCTTTCGTTTTCTCTCTCTATTGTGATATGTCATGTCAATTTTTTTCTTTTTTTCTTTTTTTTTTATGGTTTTTCCATTTCATCAATAATAATGAAAATTTCAAATTTTGAACCAGCGCCACTAATTTCATCGGTTGATGGGTTTGTTCTTCCCTCCCCCCTTCTTTCTCTCTCTCATTCTTTCCCTACCCGATTCACAAAATCAAATCAAACCACATTCCATTTCAGTCTTCTCCTCAACAACTGCTAAACAACAACAATGCCAGCAACAATGAAAGTGCGTTCTTTTTTCTCTCCTCTTTACTACAGCAAAAAGGTCAGATTTATTAAACCCTTGATTACATATTCAGTCTTATACATGTATATTTTCTATGTAGACCTTGTTCTTGAGCTAGGATTTTTCATTTACAGGGCTTTCAAATTGGGCTGTGGTTAGTTTGACTATGTGGGTTTATCTTGATTGTTATCTCCTTCTGTGCTACTCAGCTATGGTCTGTCTTCTACCCTTAAAAATCAGATCATAAAAATGCCCAAACTTTTCGACAATGGCTCTGGCAATAGGGCGGTCCCACAATTACTATATTTTCAGCTCCAAGCCTTTGTACTAGTTCAGTTGGGACAAGACAAACTGTAGCTGTGCGATCATGGCTTGGTTTATCTCCAGATATTAGTATTGTTCTGTTTAGCGAAGACCCCTGTTTTCTCTTTTGCAAGTGAATTTGGTTCTCGGGTTTCTATTGAAGCCAATATCGATTTTACGTAAGCCTCTTTAGCATTTTTTTTCAATTTCTTAGCAAACCATCTTTCATCTATTTCGATAATTGGGATAATTACATGATTTGACATATTATAGTGGGACTTTCGTGTTTTTTTTTCTCCGTTTTTCTGTACTTTTTTAGTTCAAAAATTAAATTATGGTCAACACTTGATAGTTGCAAAAGCCAAAGGAAAATTCTTTGCGGACTATAGTTACTAGATGTGGAATCGAGAATGTGTAAAAGAAAAATTAACTTGCAAAACTCCCACGTGCTGTGATGACTTGTTCCCAAAGTTTTAATTTGTCTTCTTAGATTTGAAGATCCAAAGGCTATATTCTGAAAATAAGAGCTAGGTTATGCAGTTAACTTATAGTAAATAGCTGGCTATGTATGTAAATGAGAAAAGTTCTTCATGCTGAGAAAAGTCCAAAATAAGTAAAGCACTCCTTATTATGATCAGGCTGAATTGACACCCAAGAAATATTTAGTGAGACTAATAAGTTTATAAATTGATAAGCGGGGTGAAAATGATCGTAAATTAGACTATTTGTAGTATCAAATGATAATATACAGGAGACATGTAAGAAAGTTCATAACTAAAAGAAAATTTAGAACGAGACAACAACATAGAGTGATTAATAAATTTGAATAAGTGCCATATACTCTGGTTAATTGTGAGTGTATGGTTGTTGGTTTCATTAACATGCTCTCATAAACATGTAAATTGACTTTGCTAAATTTCCTATCTCTTCTGTGTCTTCTTCTATTTAGGTTCCTGAATACCCCCCTTCTTTCATTCAATGGTTGCAAGAGCACAAGCTTGCACCTTAGATATATCTGTTCTAGTTGATCCAGAAACCATTGTTTTGCCGGAGGTCATTTCCATTTTAAATCAAGCTTACAAACTTGATCATGATTGGCTCCTTGTTTCTTGATCACGTAATGTTTTCGACTTCCCATTTCACTTGGATGCAGATGGGAAACATTGGCAGGCAGATGACGGTGCAATGATCAGAAACATAAGAGGTATGAAGGGACCAAATATAGAGTTTTGATTGGACGGGCAATGGGACAACTTGCACTAAAACTATACTCTTTTCCATCAGTTGCTGGACATACTTGCTCAAACTTGGCAATGGAAACGTTGTGAATACTGGAGTCCTGCCTCCTTTCTTGCACTGAAAGGGGCTCCACAACCACTTATTGTATAAGTGCTTATGTTAATGACATTTTTTAGAAGATTTTACACCAAGTTATTTATTGGATCTATTTTGTTTGTTTACACTTGTACATCTTTGTTAATGTGTATATCTATTAACAGAGGAAACATGACGATTAAATTTTTTAAGAAACATGTATTTATCAAATATATTTTTTAAAATTTTTTAATTTAATAAGTTTAAAATTACACCAAATTACTAAATATTGCACTAAATGTATTATTCACTCCTACTCTACCATTTTTTGGCCTTTTTTTATGTGAAAATCGTTGATTCGTACTCCCTCTTTCTTCACCTATTGACAATCTGATCTTCTCTTATTTTTCATAATTTTACCTTTCCACTGCTATTAATGTTTTAGCTCAGCCCTTGAAATGATATGCAATATTTATTTTTCACCAACTAACTTCAGCATCTCATTACATCCAACATTTCAAAAAAAAAAAATACATGCAAATCAACATTGACCAAATCAAATTGAAATATTTTTGTTCATACTTAACCTAAAATTGACCAAATCAAATTGAAACATCTCAGCTAGAAAAAACTACCGTCTCATGGATTCACTATAATTTTTACTCAATAGACTTTCTATTTATTATGATCAAATTCTTGATTCATGTCTGATAGATTGAGAAAATTTGAACTTCCTATGACATTATTGGAAGTATCCTGCAAGATTGTTATATTTTTTTTTGTTAATTTAGGTAGTACATAAAAAAATACTTCAAATTAGATATTGGAAACATACCTAACTTAAATGGGATATAGAGAAATTTGTTTGTAACAAACTTGTAAAAGACATATTTGAGTATTGGAATATTTGCATCTATATCAATAATATATAACAACAACCAAAATGCATACTTGAGTTTAATGAGTTTATTTTAATTGTATATAATTAATTGACAAAAATATCGAATTGGTCATTTGCATGCTTGTATGAACATTTAGTGTTGTGGAAACAAACTATAAAAAAAAATGAATTAACGAGAAAATATTCTGTACTCAAAGGTACCATGCTGACATGTATATTTGGTATTAAACACCAATCAAAAACAGCCACCTCAATAATTTGTCGAGCAGTGTCACATAAGTGCCGAGTCAGCGAAATAGGAAGCCATTACAAAAATTGGAAAAGGTGGAGAGAGGCAGAGAGCTGTGGGGTGATAGCTTAATCTTACGAGAAATATATAGTGAAAGAGAGGTTTAAGAAATAGAAAGATAGCATTGTTCGAGTTGAGAGAGCAAAACGCAACCACAAAACACGAATTTTGCATTTGCAGAAGGAAATATCTTCAACATCCAACAAAAACGACAAAGCCGAAAGGTGCAGATTTCGTGTGAATCCAAAGATATCTTTTGATCTTATTATCAGCCGATTCCGCCACTTGGTATCTCCATTCTCAACCCCTTATCACCTCCTTGCCACTCTCTCTCTTTCTCTCTGATCCGGTGATAGGGTTGGGTCTTACAAAGTCTAAACCATGAACAGCCTCACAAACTTACAAAATCTAAACCATGGACGGCCCCACAAAAGCAACTAGTATAAACCCTCTGTAATTCTACCAATCCCCATCACGAGTCGAACAAAATAAAGTCCACATTCAATGGCTCTCTTAGCACCACCACCACCCAATGCCAAACCCTTCTCAATTTCAAAACTCGGGCACCCAACACGCCGGCCGGCACAAACTCCAGTCCGCTCCGGCGTATCCACGTTTGTAACTTATGGTAGAAACATAAGCACAATATGCAATTCCAATAGTTTTAACCCAGAAAGAAGAGTTTGTTTTAGTAAAAGGGTATTGCCAATTGTACGTGCGGCTTCCATATTGGGGTCAGAGGAGGAACAACAAGAACCGAGTTTTGGAAGAATTTTGCTCTCTGATGTGGTGGTGAAGCGGAAGAGGAATGTGTTTTGGGGGCGAAGGTGGAATTNGAGGGTGAACAACAAGAACCGAGTTTTGGAAGAATTTTGCTCTCTGATGTGGTGGTGAAGCGGAAGAGGAATATGTTTTGGGGGCGAAGGTGGAATTTTTTGGATGTCGGCACTGCAGCTGTGGTGGTGGTGATGCATTTGCTGTGCCTTTTCGCTCCCTTTACATTCAATTGGGGTGCTTTTGGGGTTGCTGTTGGATTGTATGTGGTGACTGGCCTTCTGGGTATAACTCTTTCTTTCCATAGAAATCTTTCCCACCGAAGTTTCAAGCTTCCAAAATGGCTTGAGTACTTGTTTGCTTATTGTGGAGTTCAAGCACTTCAGGTACGTTGTTCTTGTAATTGACAGTGATCACATTTCCTGATTGTTATTGAGTTTTAGTACGGAAACGGCCTCTCTCTACTTTGATCATGCTTATCATAATTCATTAAATTTTTAACGTATTGCGATCTAGGGACACCGATTTTAAACAAGATGAGTTTGTCATATACATCACCAAAATGAACGATTTCAAATTATAATGCTAATCCTAAATTAATTTGCTTTAAAATATATAGCACATATATAAAATACTGACTACATAAATATAAATTTATAATTATATATTATTTTAGATAATAGAAAATCAAGTACAACAATAATAAAAATGGAAATCAACTTAGTGTTTACGAATGTTCTGAATTATATAATATTATACAGGAGTGAAACAATTTACATAAAAGTTCTAAAACAAATTGCGAACCAAAATACCGTACGAACAAAATCTATACTTATCGTATCGCGTATTTAAGAAAATGTCCTATTATATACCTGTACTAATATCATGTAATAAAGTGACCCATAATCCAAGTAACATTGGGACTTGGACGATAAGACTATATATTTCTAATCTTATCTAAATCCCACAATGAGGGGAGCCTTGAGTATTGATTATGCCCTTTAGTACTGAAATTTTGATGCATTTTTGTTTTGGGTTGCAGGGGAATCCGATTGACTGGGTGAGTACACACAGATACCACCATCAGTTTTGTGATTCTGAGAGAGACCCACATAGTCCCACGGAAGGATTTTGGTTCAGTCACATGAGTTGGCTTTTTGACCACAACACTGTGGCAGAAAGGGTATGAATTTTTTTCTCTCCATTTTCAAATTCATGAAGCATTGATGTTTTTTATGACTTGTTATATTGGAATGTTTGCAGTGCGGGAAACCCACCAATGTTGGGGACTTAGAGAAGCAGCCCTTTTATAAATTTCTTCAAAGCACTTACATTGTACACCCAATTGCCCTTGGGGCTCTCCTATATGCACTTGGTGGGTTTCCCTTCATCGTTTGGGGAATGGTAAGTGAGGGTCATCTTCTTTATGCTCTTGTTATGTCATTGAATAGTAATCCTATTGAAACTACTTTTATACTGATTTAATTCTGCCAATAAAAATATCCAACAATTACAATTACGATGGTTATTGGACCATATAAACACAAAAATTGACATTGAAATGTGTCGTTGAATAGGAATATCTGTCTATTCCTCGTTACCTTTATCCACAAATCACTACGTTCAATTGTGATCATTGATTTGAATTGGTGGGCCAAAACTAACATGGGTTTTTTACTCTTAACACCTCTTCATGTAGTCCCCTTTCCAATTGGGTATGACAGCAGACCATAAGTTGATATTTGTGGATTTCGGGATNAAATTGACATTGAAATGTGTCGTTGAATAGGAATATCTGTCTATTCCTCGTTACCTTTATCCACAAATCGCTACGTTCAATTGTGATCATTGATTTGAATTGGTGGGCCAAAACTAACATGGGTTTTTAACTCTTAACACCTCTTCATGTAGTCCCCTTTCCAATTGGGTATGACAGCAGACCATAAGTTGATATTTGTGGATTTCGGGATTGGAATTTAGTGGCTGGGCCAAGTTTATGTTATGTGGACTATAATGTTTTGCCTCTCATTCAACACGTTTTTTTGGATTTTCCTCGTAGATGACTGCTGTAATTTGATCTCTTTGAGTACTGGATTCAGAAAACTTGTACAGTAAACATCGATTCAAGGTTTGATGGTGTATATGGCTTAAATCCCACAAATTTGTATAGTATGATCTCGAGTTTGTTTATACATTTGGTAGCAACTTATGACATGCTATTAGTTGTATTGGACCATACATTTGGACTATTTTGGAGGAAGGAGTTTCTGTAATTCGTTACCTTCCCCTCCACTTTGACGTCTCTTTTCTACGCGTATACTTTCTTACCGATTCCTGTCCCCAAGAAGAAAAAAAAGGAATCTTAATTATCAAGAAATTGTCGATACAGGGTGTGAGGATTGTATGGGTGTACCACATTACTTGGCTAGTGAACTCAGCTTGTCATGTATGGGGAAAACAGGCATGGAACACGGGTGACTTATCCAGGAACAATTGGTACCCAAATTTTTTTTTTCCCCACTGGCTTTAATAATGCTGAATGGATTGGAGCTTCAATGATCATAAACTTTGGATTGCTGTATTTGATTAGGTGGGTGGCATTGCTTGCATTTGGAGAGGGTTGGCATAACAATCATCATGCCTTTGAATACTCTGCTTGTCACGGACTAGAATGGTGGCAGATCGATATGACATGGTATATGGTGAGGTTTCTTCAAGCGATTGGATTGGCCGATGATGTCAAGGTTCCAACCGAGACTCACCAACAACGAATGGCTTTTAACAACTAGAAATTTATTGCCATTTTCTGATGTCAGGTTTCCATCTGAGTATGCCATTTACCTAAACATCTTGGGTTAGGCCAAGAGAACTGACTCTGTTTTTGTTTGCTGATAAAGCTGAATTGATCTTGTTATTGATACACAACTACCCAAGTGATGCAAAAATTACATTTTCTGAAATATGACAACTTTTCATCATGGAGTTCTTCTTTTCCTCATACAATAAGACAGATCAAACACAAATCATATAGCTTTGAACAAGAAATCATCTAGAATGTTGAAAATCAGCATTGAATTAGCATTAAAATTGTGGTTCGTATATTTTTCGTGACATGAAAAGATCGTATTCAATGCACAAAACTCTTGTATATGACGGAGTCGGGAGAAAAGGTAAACGATAAGTAATTTTACTCTGAGAAGTAATGCATGTATGATTTTTTAAACATACATTGGTGTGATAGATGAAATGTCAAGGATGCTTGTGAGTGATCAACTTGTCAAAACTAGATTAAAGTCAAGAGGTAGATGATGTTTCTACTCTTTGAAGGGTATTATAGTTCAACAGATCTTACTGCTCACCTTTCGTCAATGTAAAAAGTAAACTGTAGGAAGATGTATAAGAGTCGGTGGATGGCCATTGACAAAGGTTAGCTTCTCCATATATTCCCTCCAGGACCCAGATTGGTTAGCTTCTCTACTGTTTGATGTNAAGGCTTAAATCCCACAAATTTGTATAGTATGATCTCGAGTTTCTTTATACATTTGGTAGCAACTTATGGCATGCTATTAGTTGTATTGGACCATACATTTGGACTATTTTGGAGGAAGGAGTTTCTGTAATTCGTTACCTTCCCCTCCACTTTGACGTCTCTTTTCTACGCGTATACTTTCTTACCGATTCCTGTCCCCAAGAAGAAAAAAAAGGAATCTTAATTATCAAGAAATTGTCGATACAGGGTGTGAGGATTGTATGGGTGTACCACATTACTTGGCTAGTGAACTCAGCTTGTCATGTATGGGGAAAACAGGCATGGAACACGGGTGACTTATCCAGGAACAATTGGTACCCAAATTTTTTTTTTCCCCACTGGCTTTAATAATGCTGAATGGATTGGAGCTTCAATGATCATAAACTTTGGATTGCTGTATTTGATTAGGTGGGTGGCATTGCTTGCATTTGGAGAGGGTTGGCATAACAATCATCATGCCTTTGAATACTCTGCTTGTCACGGACTAGAATGGTGGCAGATCGATATGACATGGTATATGGTGAGGTTTCTTCAAGCGATTGGATTGGCCGATGATGTCAAGGTTCCAACCGAGACTCACCAACAACGAATGGCTTTTAACAACTAGAAATTTATTGCCATTTTCTGATGTCAGGTTTCCATCTGAGTATGCCATTTACCTAAACATCTTGGGTTAGGCCAAGAGAACTGACTCTGTTTTTGTTTGCTGATAAAGCTGAATTGATCTTGTTATTGATACACAACTACCCAAGTGATGCAAAAATTACATTTTCTGAAATATGACAACTTTTCATCATGGAGTTCTTCTTTTCCTCATACAATAAGACAGATCAAACACAAATCATATAGCTTTGAACAAGAAATCATCTAGAATGTTGAAAATCAGCATTGAATTAGCATTAAAATTGTGGTTCGTATATTTTTTGTGACATGAAAAGATCGTATTCAATGCACAAAACTCTTGTATATGACGGAGTCGGGAGAAAAGGTAAACGATAAGTAATTTTACTCTGAGAAGTAATGCATGTATGATTTTTTAAACATACATTGGTGTGATAGATGAAATGTCAAGGATGCTTGTGAGTGATCAACTAGTCAAAACTAGATTAAAGTCAAGAGGTAGATGATGTTTCTACTCTTTGAAGGGTATTATAGTTCAACAGATCTTACTGCTCACCTTTCGTCAATGTAAAAAGTAAACTGTAGGAAGATGTATAAGAGTCGGTGGATGGCCATTGACAAAGGTTAGCTTCTCCATATATTCCCTCGAGGACCCAGATTGGTTAGCTTCTCTACTGTTTGATGTTGGCGGAAGTTCAGCTGTTCAGGGTCCATGTGTCTCACGTCGCGTAGTTGTTTTTAGACTTTTTCTAGATAGTCGTGACTGCTCAGCTGGTGTTGGAAAATGGCATGGTCGACTCTGGGAAAAAGTTTTAACAGACGTTTTCTAGATATTTGGGGCAAATTCCTACTTTGATCTCTAGCACTTCACCTATATTATTCAATCAAGTTACTCTCGTATGGTTTTAGATCATCAATCTATATAATTAACACCGTTAATGGTGATTATAGCCTTTTTTTTTTTTTTTTATGAACAAGAGCCAAACTACAACACAACTCCTTAAAAGGAGAAGTGCAGTAGTCGGCATAGAAACACATCCCAAACTCACCCAAAGTCCTGATGTGGGACAGCATCAATTTTTGATGAACAAGAGTCAATCTACAACACAACTCCTTAAAAGGAGAAGTGCAGTAGTCTCATCAAAAATTGATGCTGTCCCACATCGGGACTTCGGGTGAGTATGGTGATTATAACTTAATTTTGCTACTCTCACTGTTTAAAACTACTCTCTATCGCCAGCTACCCATTGTCCAAACCACTCACCCACTGTCAAATATAATCCAATCCCCACCACAGCCCATTGGTAAATCCACCATGCCCATGAATGTGAAAGACAAAGAAAAAGATCATATGGAGAGAGAGAGAGAGAGAGAGAGAGGAAAGGGACATTGTGGGCTGGTGCTGTGGTAATGCCTGATATCATNTATGAAAGACAAAGAAAAAGATCATTTGGAGAGAGAGAGGAAAGGGACATTGTGGGCTGGTGCTGTGGTAATGCCTGATATCATCTTTGGTGTTCTAGTAGGTGGGTTGGGAATGGGAATATCTGTTGGTCTTGTGTTTGATTAATTATATCATAGTCCCTTTATAAGATTCTTCTATGTTTGGGCCTCTGGAGGGTTCTATGATGTTGTGAGATATGTATTCATCGAATATATGAATGAAAAATGGTACATTGACCACTGATCACATGACCACAATTTTGAACTTCTTTTTTATAAATTTGGTGAAAATTTATTTGACTTTGCCCACTCTTAATAATTTTCATCCAAAAATAAATGGATATTTGCATTAGGACAATGTGAAATCAATTCCAATAGTCAAAGGAGCTATCTAGAAAATACAATAGTTCAAGAGATACCACATTGTTTTGACTAATTTTGTTCTAAGTCTTCTTTTTTTTGATCACCTTGCGTGGTAAAGCTCATTCAGTTTTGATAACAATCGTCCCCATCTTGTTCATAATAAAACACCACTAAACCACACATCTTTCCTTAGCATTCTAAACACCCATCAAAGTAAAAGTGAAATCAAGTCTATAATTAAAGAGTCCAAACTATTATTTGCCCGTGGAGTAACTCCAACCTCTTTCCCCACTCATTTTATACCCTTAGGCTAACTTTAGAGTGGTCTACAATATCAAAAAATAAAAAATAAAAATTCAATATCTTATTGCCATTACGAATTTTGAGGTTATTTTTTTTATAAAATTTAAGGGTCATTTATAAATTTTATGGATCATTTATAATTTTTTTTGGAATCATTTATAACTTTTTTGGTGCTACTTAAGATTGATCCTAAAAAATTTTAGGATCGATCTTAAGTAGCATTACAAAAGTTGTAAATGACATGCAAAAATTATAACTTGAATTATAAAAATTTATATAATAAAGTAGTTCACAATTCTAATTTCAAAAATAAACAAAATCACTTTTGTTTTTCACGGTTCAAATCGTTTTAAATTTTATTTTAAAATTAATTTAACGGCTAATATTAATACCCTAAATTTAATAGAAAAAATAAGACCTTAAAAGTGTGTTTGGAGTGATTTTTTCAAAATACTTTTAAGAATTATTTCTCATAAGTACTTTAAAAAAAAATAGTGTTTGAAACCGTTTCATCACTACCTCTACCACCACCATCGCTGCCCTCGCGACCACCGCCATCGCCGTTGTCACCACCGCCGCCACCGCCACGGTTATTGCCATCCACCATAACCATCATCTTCTCCTACTATCACTATTGCCGCCCACTATCTCTCACCCCCACTATAACCGATGTTTAAATTTATTTATCTTTTCTTTATGTTTGTAATTTGATTTTGGATATGAATACAAATATATTTATTATTTACTAATTTTTATTATTTTGTGCATTTAGGCACAGATAATAACTAATTATAATATAATTTCAAAGTTATAATTTTTTTATAAAATAATTCTTAAAAGTTGTAAAATTACACAAAAATTATAAATTACCGTAATCTTCTCCGCTAACTTTTGAACTCGTTATGTTTTTCCTCTTTTGACGATGTTTGTCAACTACTTGGTAATAACATTCCTTGATTAGAGTTATCGAAAAAGAAAAAAAACCATTCTTGATTAGACCATTTAAATTTAAATCAAAAACTTTATGTACCATAATCGAAGAAATAGGAATCAAAATAAAGCTAAACCCATGTTGGTCATCTCATTTCTTTTTCTTTTTAAATTATTTGGGACGTTTAAATTAATTTACGTACATCTCGATTAATTTATTTTTTTAATTTGGTCAAAGACAGACTATTTATATTAAAATTAAAATATTTATGAGAGATTTAACTTAAAAAATTGTTAAAATTTAAATTCAGGATATTTGAATTTATAATTCGTCTCTATTATTATTAAAGCTATCTTTAGAATTGATCATCTCAATTTTGTGCAGGTGTCTTAGAATTTTTTTTTTTTTTGCTTAATGATTAGTAGTGTCTAGACCAGTTTATGCGTATTTCGACTAATCTCTTCCTTACTCTTGTCAAAAGCATACGCCAGGACTAAAGTATTTATGAGAGATAAATCCCTCATGACCTGACCTAAAAAATTACCAANTCGACTAATCTCTTCCTTACTCTTGTCAAAAGCATACGCCAGGACTAAAGTATTTATGAGAGATAAATCCCTCATGACCTGACCTAAAAAATTACCAAGATTCAAACTTAAGACGTCTAAATTTACAACTTGTCTTTTTTATCATTTAAACTACTCTTTGGGATTATAAATTATTTTCCTAACTATCACTAGAGAACATTAATGACTGAAGATTTAAAATTAATTTTTCTCCTTGGAATGGATTTCTTAAGATGGGGAGAACAGGAGGGACAAATGCGTAATATTATTGAGATTTAAAATTTTAATTTAATTTAATTTATTAATTAAATAATGTGATTTTTTTATAACTATTAAATTAATATCAAATTTTAATATTTAATAGAACATATAGTCAATACAAGAATTATAATTAATTAAATTAATAAATTAAATCCCAACAACAGTATTGGTACAAATATCACTTTATCATACAAGTCTCTGAGTTGCTAGGAATTGTAACTCAGTCCTTTAACTGCGTTGGACCGAGTTATAAAGGTCGGAAGTATTCGAGTCAGATTTTTGCATGAGGTTCGATACGCTGGGGTCCACGCTCCTGATAACATGTGACTTGGTTAGAGAGAGAGAGAGATCCAATCAGATTACATGTCTCATGCTTTGAATTAGTGTTTGTTTTCTTCTCAAAAAAAAAAAATTAGTGTTTGTTTTCTCTCTCGTCTCTCTTACTATCGTCCCTTCAGCGTATATATCTCACGTTTTCTAACTCCAAACCTCTAAGCCTCAAAGGTTTAGAATTTCCGGATCTCACACACACACACGTACAGGCACAGGAGTGCTTTTGAAGCTTTAGAAACACAAAAGTTGAAGGAAAAATGAAAGGTGGAGGGGTTGTAATCGAAGATGGCTTCATATGCGAAGAAGAGAAACATCTCACTGTGCTAAAGACCTCTATTTTCTTCGCCGGCGATGGCTTCACCGTCTACGACTGCAAAGGTCAGCTTGTTTTCCGAGTCGACTCGTACGGACCTGACACTCGTGACAAGGGCGAAGTCGTCCTCATGGATGCATCTGGCCGCTGCCTCCTTACAGTCCGGAGAAAGGTAATTGAAACGTTAGCTAATACATCATGTCTATCCCCCTTTAATCTCTCTCTCTCTCTCTCTGAGTTTAAATGAGTTAACTCAACGACAAATGAAACTGAATTTGAAAGTTAGGCAGATTCACTTTCAGATTTGGATTAATGTGAATTTATTGGAGTTTAATTCCTTGTGACGTTTTCTTCGATTCTTGTGGAATCTTACCGTTTTACTACGAGTCAACTCGCCCAGTCGAGCTACTTCAAGACAATTTATTTTAGTACTAAACAATGTAAGATTTTAATTACTGCCGACTGGGGTGGTCCAGTGTATCGGCCGAAATTTGGAGGTTGAAAGATTAAAATTGACATTAGAATTCAGTGACTNTAAACAATGTAAGATTTTAATTACTGCCGACTGGGGTGGTCCAGTGTATCGGCCGAAATTTGGAGGTTGAAAGATTAAAATTGACATTAGAATTCAGTGACTCACCGTTATATTAGTCTAATTAAATTTATTCTTACATAATCTATCCCTTTGGATGGTATCTAAGTCCTCTTCTGCTCTCATCCCTTTTTATAAAATAAAAAATAAAAAAAATTTGAATTTTGCGTACAAGGGTAATCTCAATTTCAGACTTTAATTCATGGGCTGTTATCGAATTTCAATTTACTATAGTTAGTTACCAAGTAAACCCAGTGGGTCAACTCATTCATCTGTTTCATTTCATTCATCTTCCTTGAAGCAGAGGCCTAGTCTCCATCATCGCTGGGAAGGCTTCTTAGGAGAGGGAACAGAGGATCAAAAAAACCCGATCTTCAGCGTACGCAGATCATCAATAATCGGACGGTCAAGCGTGACGGTGGAGGTGTTCTCGAATCCAGGTGAGGAGTACCAGATCGAGGGTTCATTTGCACAAAGGTGTTGCACAATCTTGAATGCAGAGAAGGAACCAGTGGCTGAGATTCGACGCAAAGTCGATGCTTCGGCCAATGTGGTGCTTGGCAAAGATGTTTTCTCTCTCTCCCTCAAGCCTGGCTTTGAGGGTGCTTTTGCCATGGGCTTGGTTCTTGTTCTTGATCAGATCAACGGCGATGATTATGCTGATGACAATAATGGTGGGGTCGAAGATGTGGACCCCACCACTGAGGATTCAAATATCTCTCCTTAATCTTGTTTTTATCTGATGTAATTTTTTAATTTTCGGAGGTTCGAGATCAATGGGGTTTGTCTCTGTTGGGGAAACTGGTCTTTGTTTATTATTGTTTTCAGGAAGAAATATATTTATATAATAAAATATTTAGGTGTTTAAAATTTTATTTCATACATATTTTTCTCCCGAAATCATCCCATAGTCTATTTTTATCACATATTTAATTATTTAATATTTAATTAATTTATAGTTTAACATAATTTTTATTTTAGACATTATCCATACATGATAGTATACACACGTTGAGAAAATTTATCGAATTACGTATTATTATCAATATTTTTTTAAAAAATAAATTTTAAATTATGTAATCAAATAATGAAAGAAATATAAATTATTATTTAATACAGTGAAATAGATTTTTTAGACATTCAAATTTTATATTTGATCGTATTTTTAGGCATGGGTTGTTACTAGTATATTAATCACTTACCATGTTATGACCTGTGAATTATGTGACTTTGGGTATTAGTTTAATATGAGAAGAAGGTAGAGCTTTCTCTAGATTTCTTTCACTTTTATTTTTTTCTTTTAGTTGTTTAATGTTTCCCGGCAGCGAAGAGCTAGGAGTGTCAAAATATAATACGATTAATTAATATGATACAAAATTAAAGAATTTCAATTTTTTTTAAGTTACTCGTTTATTAAATAAGCGCACCTAAAAGACTCGATTTATAAGAGAATCGAGTATGAGTGAAGTCAATCACAAGAAATACACGATGCTATTCGTTTATATATTATTTATACACGATACAAAATTTAATATGATATAATTTATTAGACATAAATTAATAAACGAATCGAATAAGAGCAAAATATTTATTTACAAGAACTATTAAAACTCAATACGCACCTGCCTCGCCTAACACAATTAATAAACCTACAGAGAGCTAGCGCTTGAACCCGTGTCCCAAAATATTGCGATTTTAATAAGTGACTCCCTGGGATCACTTACTGTGAGAGTAATTTTATATTTGTGTGGGGTAAGTGAGAAGACTATGATGTACAAGGAGATTAAGACTTTATAAATTAATAAATAAAAGTTATGCACGTGCGTAGAAAAAAAAAAGGGGTGGGTTTTATTAGGATCCGCCACATGCAAGGCATGAAAGTTGCTATTAGCACAAGCTTCGGGCCACTTTACCTAGTTAATAGAAAAATTATATTATACTAATATTTAATAATGTGAAAAATATAATTTGAATTCGATACAATGCATATTCATATTCTTAAATATAATGCTTACGTATTCTTAAATATTCGATACACGCATAATGATTGTTAAAATATCGGTATGTGAATAAATCTGTCGTTATATGATTCTTCTTTTCACCATGGTTATATGATTCTGTCGTTATATGATTCTTCTTTTCACCATGGTTATATGATGATGATTTGGTGGANATATCGGTATGTGAATAAATCTGTCGTTATATGATTCTTCTTTTCACCATGGTTATATGATGATGATTTGGTGGAATACAATGATAACCATATATTCCCTATGAATGAATCACAACCAGCCATTTCTACCCGAAGAAAAAAGAGAAAAACCGACCAAAAACCACTTATCTTTTCTCTGGTGTGTCCAATCCGAATCTTTCCAAAGTGAGTGGCAACTACAAAAGCTTTGTAAAAAAGGAACTGGGAATTCAAACCATTATAGTTCAATTGGCATGTAGTACTTCCATTTGGAGTTCAACTTCTAACAAATTGTGTGCCAATTCGTTGTGTCCTCAAGATTAGGATCAATAATCTAGTCAAGCTATTCAAATTCAGTTTAAATTTGACTTGTATAGAGCTCAAACAATTTTTTAAGCTCATTTCGACTAGACTTAAATTCGACTTGTTTTGGGCTCAGATCAAACTTGAACAATTTTTTAAACTTGTTTAAAAAAATAAACTCAACAAGCTCAGCTTGAACTCATAAAACTCAATTCAATTATCAACCATACTCAAGATATCATATTTTTTTAATGTTTCATGTGCGATTGTGTGTGTGTGTGTGTGTGTATCTTGATCAAGGTAAATAACTCATTTCTTAGGTTAAACAAACGATTAGTCTCTAAGTCATCTTGAAAATGTCGGGGGTCAAGGTATTATATTGACATAAAACTTAGAAGGTTTGAAAAGAAATTAAACAAAAAAACATCAGATGTAACACTTGAAAAGAACCTCAAAACATAAAGCGTGTCAAAGCATACACAATTGAAGATGTCGAACTAAAGAAGAAAATTGGTCTGAATCTATGTTGAATGAATCAAACTTCCAGAATCAAAGCAGTTTGAAGCTTTCTTTAGTTTAAGGCCAAAAATTCAGACAATGAGACTTTTTTCTTTGCAACTAGAAAGTTGACTTTCTGCATGACATGTTGTCTTAAATGCTAATACCTCAACTGTGTTTCTTGTACATGAGGCAGTATGGGTGATGAATGATTCTACGTTTGCTCATAAAAGGTAATCAGGCCATGAAGGCATGTGCATGGGCTTCACAAAATTGTGTTTTGGGTAACATTAACTAGTGTGTACCCTTTCGGCATCTAGCTTAAGCACAAGCAGTTGCCAGTACTGCTCGTTACGCTTCAGCGAATAAATGACTCAACATAACTGGATCAATTCCACACAGATCACACTTTAGGACACGAGATACGATGCAAAAGATAGGTGGTTTTATTTTTGTCAATGTAAGACTGTAGTATATTTCTGAAACAGATTAAAAACCTACTGACAACTTGCGGTAATTTCCTACTCTTAATATAAGTGTAGATGATGAAACAACCGTAGGGGGGCTACAAGTACCTGTACAAATTGAAGAACATGAAGTGTTTCTAGGGAAATTTGTATGTGCATTGAATATCACACCAAAATGAGACTCTGAAGTCTTTTGACCAGTCATGACATCAAAATCAGCAGCACAGCTGCAGAGCAGCTCGTGTAAATTAATGAATAGGACCCAAACCAACCTCGAAGTCCAATAACCTGTCAAGTGAGACATAAAAAATTACAGAAAATTAGCATAACATATGTAGCACAACAGGCTGATCATTTCTATTTCATTATTGCATAAAGAAATTGATTCTTCCAATATGATTTTCATGAACAGATATTTCAAGAGGTCTGATAATTATTTGTAGCCCAGATCGTACGCTAAGGTCCATAAGCAATCACTTAGTGGAAGATCGTACGCTACTGTTAAAGTTACAAGCAGAGACAACCAATGGCATTGGCCTGGACCATCAACTAATACACTCCAACTTACCAAGATTCCATGCCTTCTTATCAACCTAACTCTATACATCCTGACAGAATAAAATGGACCCTACTCTACTAAATCTGCTTGGAAATCCATTTATTCACCTTCTCCTAACGTTCCCTGATCAAAACTCATTTGGTATGGGCAATCCATTCCAAGTACGAGTTTCATTTTGTGGATTGCAGTGCAATAGAAACTAAGGACCAAGGATAAAATGCAGGCTTTTATGCAGGAAATTGGAACAGCAGTCATGTGGAGGCATAAAAGGAACTAAGATAGAGTAGGACTATGCAACAGGAACTTAAATTATTCTGAACAATTCATCGCACATAATTGAAATCTTCATCTATTACCATGAAAATTTATTAGTATGTATCCAACTGATTGGAAAACCAAGGAAAATGAAACATTTCACTTAAAAAAGTTTTCCTGGACTAAATTTTTTTCAAAAAACTTATTTTCCTCTCAACAAACATGCGGCTAGGTATATGAATATACACATATTTCCAATCATTGGCAATTTAAAAAGATCTTGTAAACTACAATGGAAATGTCATTCTGCAATCAGGAAGGGGATAGTAACAATACTGAGCACATTATGATCTAAACTGCATAGCTATTAAATATTGTCTCGATTTTGATGTGAGGGATGACTTAAATAGAGTGGTTGCACAAAACTATTTTCTTTAACAGGAAAAGGGAAAGTGACAAAAAACAAGAACCTTAGTACGTAACTGAAAACTGAATAGAAAAACAATGAATGTCACAAATCCCTTATCAATCTAAGGGATTTCCATTTCTAAGGAAATGGAATGCAAAAGATGAAAAGAAAGAGAATTTCCAAAATAGCTTAGTTTTTGGAGGCAACAGAAACAAGAAGGAAGTCAAAGAGGGAAAGTAAGAAGCTGTGAAACCTATGACCAATTTTTTTTTTTCAGTCTAGAGTGTTACGTTGCTAGGCTCTAATTAGAGACCCAAGTTCTTGTCAGAAGAACGTAAACACTATTTGTGTAAGCAATCACTATATGAGAAGATTCAGGTATTCAGGTAACAAATACCTTTAAGGATAAAAGAGATGAGCCTGCTGAACTAGTTACAAGTCCAGTAAACCCAATATCATATGCGGTGCTTCCATCAGCTTTAAACAATCCAAAGTTTCTCTCTGAGGTTGGCCCAGGCTTTGAGTTCTCATTGAACAGGGCAAAAATATATGCCCTCACCACTTTCTTTGGCCTGTAAGGGGTCCCCTTCTTTTTTGCTAGCCGCTTGCGCAAATTATAATTGTAAGTCCTTGCATTTTTAACAGTGGCTCCTGCTTCGGTTTCATCTCCACGAGAACCCCATCCAGTTTCTGAAACTATGACTTCCATCTTGTCAAACCCTGCCTTCTCCAAAGCAGCATAAGCTGCATCAATTTGAGCATCAAACATATTATCATAGTGCAGTTTAGTCTTAGAATCATAAATTCCCTGGTTTGAACGGAAAAGAGCATAGTTTATATCAATGTGCTCGGGATCACTTTTATAGGCCAGAAATGGGTAAGCATTTATATAGAAAGGAGACCCAATCTTTGAGAAGAAATGGAGAAGTGGTCTCATGTATGGAAGAACATTCTCCTTAAAAGTTCCTGCAGATGGAGGGTAGGAAGTTGCAAATACACCCTCTGAATGTGGACTTGAAACCTCCACTACATCAGTCAGATGCAGCCGATGAAGGGCATTGTAAACATTTTTTACAGCTGGCAGCAAAACCTCCCCTAGTTCCTGGTTATCGCTCCCCAAAACCTCGTTTCCCACAGCGATTCCACGGATATGAGTATCAGGGAGGAATGACTGCACATTTTCTTTCACCCAAGTAATGGCACGATCCTGACTCACACTAATGTCCTTCAAATACTCATTTCCGAGTCCAACTATTATTTCAATACCGGACCCTTTAAATGCCCTGAGAACTTGATGATCAGCATCATAAATTCTGATGTTTTTTATCTTAGATGCCTTGAGAAGGGTTACTACTCTTTCAGGTGGTGGGAGATTGTCAGCAATCCTGCCATAATTTACTCCATATGTCCCCGTGAAAGCATACACTGTTGAAACTACCAAAGCAAAAAAACAGAGCTCAATTAGTCACAGATTCACCAAGATAAGACTTAGTTAAAATTTTTCCTTCCAAATGAAACTTATGTGTAAGTGCCATTAAAATTTTAATTTCCAAGGAAGGATGCAAAATTTTGAACGTTGAACCCACACTGCGAAAGCCTCTAAATAGATTCCAAGTGATATAATATGCCTAAAACAAGATATTGCTTGGATTAAAGATTCAAGTTTATCAAAATGTGTTCCATTGCAAACAATGGAACTATTATTTGGATATTGATAACCTATATATTCAGTCCACCAAGCAGAGGTAATTACCACTGAAACTCTGAAATCGTACCCTCAAATTATGAAATCTGTATGTTCCAGACAAACAAAAACATGTTCCAAATGCATCAAACAAAATTCTATTCCAGTAATAATGGAAACAAAATTGCCAACCCATTTCTAACATGGTCATCAACAATCTCAGGAATATGGTACCCTATACTACTGAAAATCTGAAACCATAATACAACAAGAAAGAAGCTCCTATTGATGTTCCAAGATATTTAATAACATCAAATTCAGCTCAACCTTTGTATAAAACTTTCAAAGTTTTCTTTCAACAACTTCAAAAGAGAAGCTCATCTAGGTAGCCTATGACTGATATCAAAAGTTGGTAATTGCAACACGATTATGCTACATAATATGCTCCATTTCGTATTTAATACAATAAAACAGAAAGAAAGAAAAAAGATAGTAGTACAAAAGCACGTACCATTTGAGAAGGCAACAGAGGAAAGAAGAATGATCCAGAGGAAGACAGAACCGAAACCCATTGTTCTGAAAGTCGAATTATATTCAAAGGACCATTTGCTTTATAGAAATTATGGGTGTGTGGTGTCCCAATTTGTAGTAATAGTTCATAAACGATAGCGTCGACGACGACGAAACCAACCCTGGGTTTGGGGATGCAATGCTTCCTCTGAAGGTATGCCATAGACTACTAATTGGGAAGATTCCAAACCTTTGTTCAAGGATGATTGAGATTTGGTTGTGAAAGGTTGAGGTTTGGTTTTGAGGGCTTCGAATAGATTCCAACTTTTTCAGCTACCTTTCTTTTCTCAATCTATACAAAAGTTTACCTTTTACACTTCTAATTTTTCTGCTTTCGTATTATTATATGGGCATTTTCTCTCTCTAGTAGTCGTAACTGGTTATACCGAAGTTTCGAATGAGGCTGAGGAGGGTGGTGGTGGTGGAAGAAACCGAAACTGGTTTGGCTGGACAGCTGAGGTGACCAAAGTGGGAAGCTTTGAGTTCGTAGGTAGAATTATACTTTGTGTCCCAAACGATTTAAAGATTTTTAATTTGTACCGATAAAGATTAAATTTTTTATATTTTATTAAAATTATTATAATATGACTCATCCATTAACTTCCGTTATTCATTCTAACGATGAGTTAGTTTTTGTACTTTACAATGGAAAAATTTTAAAATTCTCACTTTGTATATTTACAGATTAAAATTTTCATGTTGCACCCTTCATATATCAAAAATATTACAATGCGATCATTTTGTTAATGTCAAAAAATTGAATTTTGACGAAAAAAATAATGGAAACTAACAGAAGGGTCATATTATAATACTTTTAATATAATAAGAGTCTAAAATAAAAAATTTAATACTTGATAGTGTAAAATAAAAATTTTAAAATTTTCAAAGATGTAAGGTGCAAAAAGCCCGAATAAGTAAGAAAAATTAACTAAAGGTGACATTACACTTTTAATACATTAAGGTACAATATAAAAAATTTAATTTTTGAAAATATAAAATAAAAATTCTTAAATTTTTTTTGGTACAAAATATAATTCCCTCATAAGAAAATTACATTAATCCTACAATATTGTGATTTTAAAAATATTAGGATCATTTTAAAATAATTTTATTTTATTTTGATATAACTTTGTCATATAATATTATTATAATCTCATCCTTTATTTTGTATTAATTTTGATATAATAAAAAAAAAATATTAGTGCATTAGATTGATTCAGACAACCTTTCACTTGGTGCAATCTAAAACGATTTCTTATTCAAGACAGAACCCACCTCAACCCATCCCAATAACATATACAACACATAGATCTGCCACAAAATGAAGCCGGTGCCCAAGATTAACAACTGAATGAGAACGAATCTAAGACAGTATGTAGATAATCTAATTAGACTTCCAGTACACTACAGTTGCACCATCACAAACAACTCTATTAGGGATACAAGGTTGGTTTCCTAACAACCAAATCCAGCACTAACATAAATATTTAGTCATCCAAGGAGTTCCAAAAAGCTAAAAGGGAGAAGAAGAGGGGCAGTAGAAGAGATGGTGGATGCCCTAAGAGAGACTTGCAACATTCAGCAGCTAATTGGAGCTGGAGATGGCTGTTGTGGGGCGGCCTCAGCACCCCCTGTTTGGTTCTCCTCTACCTGCAGCTTATATTTGCTATCATTTTGCTCTTCTTGCACTTTGGTCTCCCCCTCAGAAGTAGGTGTCACACCATTCGACATCTCTTTCTCTGTTCCATCATGTGTTTCCACAGTGACCCCTTGTGGCTTGTAATGTTTCTCATCAAAGGTATCTGCAGTCTCAGACTGTGGTTGTTCTCCCTTTACATTGGCCTGTTTGTCTTCTACATTTTTCTCTTCATTTGCACCAACTTCTGTGCCACCAATCTCATCTGTGGGTTTGTCCACCCCCACTGCCTCTGCATTACAGTTCTTTTTGTGGGCGCCATTCTGAATCTTATCATCTTTCCCAATAGCTTCCTCTGGACCATTTGCTTCCATCTTGGCATCTGGGTCATACGTCTTCCCTTTGTCCTCCTCTTCTGCATTTTTCTTCTCTGTGACGACTGTGTCTTGCAGTTCAACTTTTTCCTTACCTTCAGTTTCTTCAGTGGGAATTTCCATCTCTTTGTTGTCCTTGTTGGTACTTGATGATTTTCGGGAACGCTTCTTTGATTGCTCGCTCTCTGTTGATGGAGGTGTTGCCTTAGCCTTCTCACTGATCCTTGCTGATCTCCTTGGAGTCTCACCAGTACCCCAATCAAACTCCGAAATTGCAGGATTTCCAGGGTGCATTTTGAGGTACTGCTCCATCTTTTTTCTGTTATTAATCTCCTCCCCCGTTGGAGCAATAAATATGACCTCATTCTTCATTGGTGTGCCTCCTTTCTTTGGCATGTACTGAAACAAACAGAAGGTAACTATGTTGTACAAACAGAACTATAGACTGAAGAAGGGACACTAGAAAATCTGTCATACAACCAAAATACATATGAAAAAATTTATTTTAGGGTGCTTGAATCTATTTTGTTTAAAACTGTAAAAGATACCCTCAAATTAGATCACAAGTGCAAAATCTCCAATAATCAAAGATTGGTACTTCGCTGTATAAAGAGTAAGAGAAAGAAAAGAAACAGAAAAAAGAATATGAAACAACAATTGGGTTGATATTACCACACTCTTTTGAGTATTAAAATCATAATATACAGGTAAGACACATCCAAGTATTCAAACGAGAAGATTAGTCGAGATGCGTGTAAGTTGACCTGAACACCCTAACCAAAAGAAAAAAATTAACTTGCTCGTAATTGTCAATAAATGAACTGGTTTACACTAAAACATATACAATATGATATTAATATATACATATTAATTAGTAAGCAAACAAAAAGAAAAACATCGAAGGACACCGAAAATAAGGGCACAATGTGTGATACATACAATGCATATACTTTTGCCCCTAGGGCTGCTTGTTTAGCGAGTAAGTGCACAAAAGTGCAGGAAAAGAAAAAAAAAGTAACTTCCCATGTATTTGATTAGATTGAAAATATGGTTTTTCACCCAAATTTTCTTGCAAACAATTACTTTCATTTCTCGCAAATTGTGTGGGGAAATTTTTTTTCACAGCAAACTTGTGTTGTTTCATGTTTTGCCCACTTCACATGTTACCCATTTCAGCAAGAGAAGTGAGAAGAACTTAGAAATTTTGCTCATAACAAAATAAAAAGAATCTAATATTTTGGTTGCAAATGTTACTTTTTTTTTAATCAATTGAACTAGAGTTGTAAATGGGTATTATTCATATTATGTTCAAGTATTATTGTGTCAATATTTGTCTAACTTATACTTGTGTATGTGTTAGATTGATATGGTAAGAATGATTTAGTCCTTAACACCAATTTTTTTTATATTTTTCTATCAAACTTTTTATTCTAATCAAATGCATACAAGAAAATAATTTTTTTTTTTTATTTCTTTTTGTTCACGTTACTTTTTACTGTTTTCATTTTTCATCGTCAATTTCTTTCTAACGAAACGGAGCCTAGGGGTGAACTGCAAAAGCATAGGACTCTGCAGATTGAAAAAACAAGTTCACAAAAAGCACTTTGGTTCCTTCATATAACAAGGCTGTCTCCAATATATTCATCACCAAGAACCCCTTCGGATCATAATTAAACTACTAAAAAGTCAACTACCAAACTTGGTATGAAAGGATAGAAGTAGACTCCCCAAATGTCTATCAGCACCATAATGAATCAACAAATGACTCACACTCTCACCCGATTTTTTACACGTCACAGTTACCTCCCATAAAGATAGAATCACCTCCCAAACAAAAGAGCAACTACTTTCATAGCCTCAAGTCTGTCAAATAACTAGCCTCCAAAAAGGAAGTCCCACCATGTGCAACTGGAAAAAGGATCTCACAGGATGCACCACCTACCACCAAACCGCATACTCCAACCTTCTTTGTCACTGTATACAACTGAAAATAAAGAACTCACAGGATCCACCACCTGTCATCTAGTCGCATCCTCCTGCATACACAGAATATCCTGGTATATGATTGAATCAGTGCCTCCAGTGAACCAAGCAGCATTTAACTCATGAACCTTTCCTCTTTATTTACCCAGAAATCAGTTGGGACATTCTCATCCACGTAAAATTACAGAAAGATTGACATCTTTATCATATCTCGCCAGCCAAATGGTAACAGAGCTCCTATAGTTTGTTATCTATTCTACATCCCTCCTCTCACTTAAACCATTTTGTACCCTTCAAAGTGCCTCACAACTGATCACTTTGAATTAACAAACTGCCAGTATGGATTGAATTATTCATGCTCAGTTCAAATGTATCATGACCCAAAAAAGCCACAACCTTCTCAATATGGATATACGGCCCAATTACATGTTACCAAAAACAAAAGAAAACAAAACAAAAAATCACCTTATATACAAGTCTAAATCGGATTTAGAAATGCTAAAACAAAATTGTTCTTTGAAGTAACAAAATGGAACCTTCATTCGGCATTCCTTGTGACAGAAAAACAAAATTTTTAGTAATAAAAAGAAGATTCGTACCATAAATTTTTCACCAACTGCTACAAAAATTTAGTTACCAACCAAGGCAAAAATCCAATATCTATTTTTACTAAAAACAAAAACCAATTGACAAGAGTGAAATGATCAGAGCTCACCAAACACATTAAACAATCACCAAGCACTATAATCTTAAAATAAAAATTAGCAACACTGATACTCTCAGAAGATAAGGGTTTGCGTGGGCCCCCCCACCCACTGAAGGGGTGCTGGGGGGTTGGAGAAAAGCTCAGAACTACATTGTCTCCGAAGCTCTAGCCAGATAACAGCAAGTATTAACCAAAAGGAAAACAAAGATTATTAATCAAACATAAAAAACCCATTAAACAAACTATGCTTTCGAAACACCACCACATAAATTGGCAACAAAGTACTCTCATGGAATTCAATTACCAAGAAGAATTGAAGCTACAGCAAAGCCGAGAACCGAAATAGAAAGAGAATTGAGAGAGATATTAACCAATTTCTTCCAGGAAGCAGGAGCAGGAAGCTCCACCGAGACGCCGCCGCCCTTAGGTCCATTCTGCGTCTCCTTATCCACAAAATTCGCCATTTTTCAGCTACAAATCGTAAATTCCGAACACCACCACTAGTTCTCTAAATGGAAGTAAAAAACATCCTTTTTCTCTCTCCACCCCTCTCTCTCTCTCTCTCTCTCTCTCTCTCTTTAATAAAATGCAGGAAGAAACCGCTAGAAGAGAGTGCATGACCCTTTTTCACAGGGCAGTGGGGATAAACACGCCTTGATAGGTACAAAAGATTTCTGAAATGTGTCAGTTTTCTGAGGAGGCGATTTGTCCGTTAAAGCTGTTTTAATCTGCGCGCATCGTTTCAACGCTCCAGATATCAACACGTGTTCTTTCGGAGCGAACCTCCACTCTGAGTTCCACACTGTGAGCTACACTTGACAATGGTGAGTGTAATCACGCGCTAGATGTTTTAGTGTAAGAAACACTACCATGTAACCGACGGATCATTAAAATACACATACATCGCCACTGACGTGGTAGGTCGCACTTAATTTGGATAAGGTTCGGATGATAAAAATACATATATTCAATACAATACAGCAGTTAAAATAAAAAAAGTTAACAATTTTTTTTATGTTGATAAATTATAATTTTAAAGGATATAATTGATCATTAAAATATTAGGATAATATCAAGAGTCTACCTGATCATGAGTGTTAGTAATTGATTATGATTATGACCTTTTTTTAGTTAAATTTTTTTTTTAAAATTATAATTTTTTAATAAAAAATAATATTTGATAAAACGATATGGAAAATAAAACATGGATAGAGTTGGTATAACTGATGGATTTTCAACTCTTGGTCCGAGTCGTCTTGAATCGGATGCTAGCAACTCCTCTCTTTGTTCGTCTGTGTCTAAACTGATGTCCTGCTTTCCATCATTAATCACGNGCGATTTGTCCGTTAAAGCTGTTTTAATCTGCGCGCATCGTTTCAACGCTCCAGATATCAACACGTGTTCTTTCGGAGCGAACCTCCACTCTGAGTTCCACACTGTGAGCTACACTTGACAATGGTGAGTGTAATCACGCGCTAGATGTTTTAGTGTAAGAAACACTACCATGTAACCGACGGATCATTAAAATACACATACATCGCCACTGACGTGGTAGGTCGCACTTAATTTGGATAAGGTTCGGATGAAAAAAATACATATATTCAATACAATACAGCAGTTAAAATAAAAAAAAGTTAACAATTTTTTTTATGTTGATAAATTATAATTTTAAAGGATATAATTGATCATTAAAATATTAGGATAATATCAAGAGTCTACCTGATCATGAGTGTTAGTAATTGATTATGATTATGACCTTTTTTTAGTTAAATTTTTTTTTTAAAATTATAATTTTTTAATAAAAAATAATATTCGATATGGAAAATAAAACATGGATAGAGTTGGTATAACTGATGGATTTTCAACTCTTGGTCCGAGTCGTCTTGAATCGGATGCTAGCAACTCCTCTCTTTGTTCGTCTGTGTCTAAACTGATGTCCTGCTTTCCATCATTAATCACGAAATTTCTATTGTGACAAGACATGTACGTTCTGATTTGTATATTCAATAAGGAAATTACATATGAGCTTATAGGCAGTGAATGACATTGTAAACCATATTGCCATAATCAAGATCTAGTTAACTTCCCAACCAACAGGCGACCCCACTCCTGACCACTAGCTCAGCCTCTCTTGTTTATATGTTCCACAACCAGCCAAGGACTGAACCTATAGCTAACCCAATCACCTAAGAACAAAGCCATTACAATTCCCACTGTTTCTGATATCCTCAACCGGTAATGACTTTGGAGCAAGAATCGTAACCCATTGGTTATCCCCAGAAGAGTAGTCAAAAACACTACAGGGAGCTCACTTCTCAGCTATTTGGGTCCCGTGAAGACAAGCCATGAACAGTCGGAATAACAAAAGCCTGGCCATTCAAGCCATGAAGAGTGGCAATAACTTTTGCAAGAGATTGCAACAGATACTGCANCGGATATCCTCAACCGGTAATGACTTTGGCGCAAGAATCGTAACCCATTGGTTATCCCCAGAAGAGTAGTCAAAAACACCACAGGGAGCTCACTTCTCAGCTATTTGGGTCCCGTGAAGACAAGCCATGAACAGTCGGAATAACAAAAGCCTGGCCATTCAAGCCATGAAGAGTGGCAATAACTTTTGCAAGAGATTGCAACAGATACTGCATGGGGAATATGATGAAGGTGCTGATGATGAAATAGATCTGAGTGATCATCTGGAGACCCTTTGGGGAGTAGGGTAGGGAAGCCTTTGTTACAATCCTCAAGATGCAAACAAGAATTCCTGAATACAGAGTCCAAAAAAGGCTGATGATCAGTTAGAAATTGGATTTGATAAGAGCCTTCAGTTCATGTACAGTCGGTCAGNGAGAATATGATGAAGGTGCTGATGATGAAATAGATCTGAGTGATCATCTGGAGACCCTTTGGGGAGTGGGGTAGGGAAGCCTTTGTTACAATCCTCAAGATGCAAACAAGAATTCCTGAATACANGTGATTTGTCCGTTAAAGCTGTTTTAATCTGCGAGCATTGTTTCAACGCTCCAGATATCAACACGTGTTCTTTTGGAGCGAACCTCCACTCTGAGTTCCACACTGTGAGCTACACTTGACAATGGTGGGTGTAATCACGCGCTAGATGTTTTAGTGTAAGAAACACTACCATGTAACCGACGGATCATTAAAATACACATACATCGCNCAGAGTCCAAAAAAGGCTGATGATCAGTTAGAAATTGGATTTGATAAGAGCCTTCAGTTCATGTACAGTCGGTCAGTCATTTGTTAAATCTTTACTAAACAGTCAATAGAGCAAACAAAATATAAGTTGATTTCTATATAAGCCTGACTAAATGCGCATGCTCGGTTGAACACGATTTATACAAGTGATGAACTTGAAACGACACAAACCTGCTCCACAAGATTATAGATGGATTAGGTGTGCGTTGAACAAATTTTAGATTAATATGAATTTACCCAATTTTACTTACATTTTTATCTTCTTTTGAATTGATTTTGTCTTTTGATAAATCCATTGCACAAAGATACATTTTTCCATTGGTGATGAATCAAAAATACAAACAGTACCTGAAGAAGCATTGCCTGCCTGCATGTACCATCCCGACAGTTCCCCGGTGCCTCCGGTCAAGCTTCCTTTGGTCAACCCATTTGCCAGACCACACACCACCAGGGCTAAAACAAGAACCACATAAGCTATATGTGGCGTCTCTTGAGGCTCATTCTTATGAGAAGCCCAATCTGTCACAGGCGCCGCCGTCAAAGCAACAATGAACAGAGACTAGCTGGAGTTCATCCTCAGTCGAAAACAGGGTAATTGGTTCCAAGTAGACCAACAATTCAGAAGAACAAGCATCAGTAGTGTTGAACCCATGTAAGCCACAGAGAACACCTTGCCAATGTGTTTGTTTGGATAGAGAAATTCAAAGTAATCAACGGCTGTAATGAATGCATTCCATGGAATCAAACTCCCAGCTCCGAGCAAAAAGTGGATTGTATATGCAATAATGTAGGTCTCTTGGTTCATTTTGGTCTCTGGAACCATGTAGGATTTCCATTGCAAATTAATAACCTCTTCTTCAAGCAAGCTTGTCTGATATTTGTAGCCCAAAGATCAGTTATTGAGAGAAGCAGTAGCGATAAGAAAAGATTGCCTGAATTGAGAGTTATAGCAACTGAGTTTGGAGTCAATATTGCGGCACGAATTGAGTGTTATAGCAACTGAGTTTGGAGTCAATATTGCGGCACAGAGTATATAAATGAATCCTGCGAAACAATTTCATATTAATTCATTGACAACTTCTTTCTATAGAGCAAATTGATTTCGATTCTTGAATAATTCACATCAATTATGCATCTATTGTAACCAAGGATTTCAGGGATTCATGCCAAAAAATTGCTTTGTAGCAGTGGGCATGCTGCTGTAGGGTGCAAAACATGAAAGGTGTCATGCAGACAATAAAGCATGTGAAGAACTTGACAATCATGCAATAGGAGGTTCATTTATGTGAAGATTCTTGAAATCTTTGTTACCCATATGTTATAATCTTCCCAAATTGAATTTGAGATACGTTTCAAAAAAGGGGTAGAAGAATAAATGCAAGTTGCCAAGAGCCCTAAATTGAATTTTTTTTAGAAGATTATTGTTGGTTAGGCTCATGAAGATATGTTGGAATAAATGCCATAATCCCCTTGTATTTTATGATCAAAATGGAGCTTATAATACAAAAACACAAAAACGTAAGAAGTCCACCTTATCGTTGTCCCGAATGATCCCACCTCTGAAATTCTTGGCATATATATAGGAATGGTCAGTGTAGAAAGATGGAGATTTATATTTAAAACGATATGACTATACAACCACCATTATAATTGTGATACGATTTGGTTGAATGAGAGCATTTTATCCGCAGCAACTCCACACCACTTATGACTACAGAGAAGAATAGCAATATATAAAAGTAGGGTAAAATGACAGTTCAAGAAAAGGCAATCAGGGGACCCATGAACAGGTTAAGAGATAATACCATTACAGTCATAAAGTCCACAAATAAGGATGGAGAGGGAGACAAGACAATTAGATGGCAACCCTCAACCTCTTATCTCCTGGATTTTTATAATGAAGATTGCTTGTCAATTGTCCTGTAATTGTTTGTCCATTGTCACAGAACTGATAGACAGCAGAACATCAGAAAATTTAATCATAAAGGCAATGCAACTGTAGAAAACAGAGTTATAGCTGAAAAATTCCAAGTGGGTACAAATAGCTTTTAAACGTCAACACTGAAACAAAATATCTAGCCTAAGGTTGTAAAATTTGGCTATGAATTTGTTACAAGTCATTATTTCCCGACCTCCCTCGGTTGCAACTGATTATTATCACTATTTCCCCTGGAAAACGCCGTCACAACAGGGACTACTACCGGCAACCATCATGCTGAAACAAAAATATTTCTTCAAACAAAAAAATTAATTTAAAAAAAAAAGAAAATTTCTTCAATCTGTATCTGTGGAAGGATAATGTCAGAAANAAAAAAAGTAGGGTAAAATGACAGTTCAAGAAAAGGCAATCAGGGGACCCATGAACAGGTTAAGAGATAATACCATTACAGTCGTAAAGTCCACAAATAAGGATGGAGAGGGAGACAAGACAACTAGATGGCAACCCTCAACCTCTTATCTCCTGGATTTTTATAATGAAGATTGCTTGTCAATTGTCCTGTAATTGTTTGTCCATTGTCACAGAACTGATAGACAGCAGAACATCAGAAAATTTAATCATAAAGGCAATGCAACTGTAGAAAACAGAGTTATAGCTGAAAAATTCCAAGTGGGTACAAATAGCTTTTAAACGTCAACACTGAAACAAAATATCTAGCCTAAGGTTGTAAAATTTGGCTATGAATTTGTTACAAGTCATTATTTCCCGACCTCCCTCGGTTGCAACTGATTATTATCATCATTTCCCCTGGAAAACGCCGTCACAACAGGGACTACTACCGGCAACCATAATGCTGAAACAAAAATATTTCTTCAAACAAAAAAATTAATTTAAAAAAAAAGAAAATTTCTTCAATCTGTATCTGTGGAAGGATAATGTCAGAAATTTNCTCCCTCGGTTGCAACTGATTATTATCACTATTTCCCCTGGAAAACGCCGTCACAACAGGGACTACTACCGGCAACCATCATGCTGAAACAAAAATATTTCTTCAAACAAAAAAATTAATTTAAAAAAAAAAGAAAATTTCTTCAATCTGTATCTGTGGAAGGATAATGTCAGAAATTTATTTCTCTTATATTTTACAGAAGGAAAAAAAAACAAAAGGAAAAGTTAACTCTACATTAACATTTTAGTTTTCCCCAACTTCGATGGTAGGATTACAACAGAGGACCACATAAAGGTTATTAGATTAAGAAGCTGCAGCCAGAGGAGGCCAATTAGAAGCTCCTTCAAAGAATTTTGGTGATGGGTTCCTGCGGTCAATGCCATATTGGTCTCTTTCTTCCACTTCCTCTTCCTCTTCCTCTTCCTCTTCGGCATCCCAGAGAAATCGAGCATATGATGCTAGAACATGACTGCATCAATGTATTAACTCCAAAGGTTAATTTATATAAAAATTAACTGCATAAAAACTCACTTGTGGAGTCTCCACACAACTTTAATTTCCAAATAATTTAAAGATGTCAAGGTAAAAACAGGAGAATTCCACAACCTCAATTTCAAAAAATAATTTAAACCTATCATAGGAGGGCTGTCTTCATTCTTCTGAGACTACGTGAAGCTAAGTTTGACACTGGACACAGGCAACAAAATTGAAAAAAGAAAAGAAGAAAGAATAATTAAGTACAGAAGATACACTTGGTGAGTCCATTGCAATTCAAGCAAGATAATTTTGCATTTAGCAACACACTTGTATGATATAAGGCAGGATAAGATAACGGTTAATAAACCAGAGAGAACGGGCCCAGCACATCACTAGGTACGACTTTGCATCAGAAGCTGTGGCAAGTTTCCTAGGAGAGTTCCTAATAGCAACCTTTGGGCCAAAGAGAACGCCAAGTTAATGATACGGGCCGACATGCAAGTAACCTGATCTTAATGAAGGCCATGCATCCTAGTGACAGAGCTACTCATACATCCAAGCATTAGTGTCCGATCAAATGGGTTCTTAATAGCTAAAGGGATGATTCCACCAACAACAAACAAACAAACAGAGTGAGCTTCACTGACTGGTTGACGCCATCACCTGAGTACTTCTAAAAAACTCCAACTAACCTTTGGATGATACTCCTAGTGAACACACTGCAATTCAAGCCCAATTGTGTGATGTATCCGAGGGAGAACAAGAAATAGATTAAAAAACCAGAGACGGAAACCTGCCCCAGCACGTCATCATGTACGACTTTGACTCGGGCGATGACAACTTTTGTAGAAGAGTTCCTGATAACAACTTTGGGCCAAGGACCAAACTAAGCAAATGAAACGGGCAACCTGCGAGTAACCTGATCTTAACGATGGCCTTGTGTCCTTGTGGCAGAGCTACTCACACATCCAAGCATTGTGAACCGTGTCCAACCTAAAAGGTTCTTAGTAGCTACAGTCGATGCATCTACCAACAACAAACATGGATTTAGGTTCACTAATTGGTTGACACCATCACCGAGTACTTCTAAAAGGACACAACTAACCTTCAGATGATAAGGGTACTTGTGATGTAACCTACATCCATGCCATTTGCCACTAGGATTATCCAGTCTATAATCTAATCAACCATCATCAAGAGACATCCAGAGTAACAACTTGGTCCGTCTTGAGAAGGATAGTGTAAAGATACATGCAGGAAAACTGAGAGTTCTGCCCTGGGCAGACACCCCGAGACAAGATTGAGCACCTACAAGGATGAGCAGGCCTGCGATAGCCTATGAGTGAGGACATAGCCTCTCACTGATCAGATAACACCCTATATCTACTGCAATCAAAAGGGACAACTCACTCCCAATGTTTCGGCTTTTATCCACCTACCGTCAACAGGCCACCGAATTGCTTTCTGACATGTCCGTCTATGGTTAGTTCAATCAATTGGAAGGCTACTTGCTCAACAAGGTTGCGAACCACACTTAACCACTCTCCTTGAGTAACCATTCATAGGAGGGTGTTTTGCCTTTTGTCCCAAAAGATTAATTTTTAATAATTTCTATCAGCGGGTAACCAATCAGTCCTCCAGTCATATGGAACAGCTGTACCATGAAGCTCTCGACTTTAAACCGTATGATCTCTACTTAAAGGTAACACATCTCCATAGAGAAGATACACCTAAACAGCCTTAACATATTTTTCAATGGGATTTTCGTAACAACTCAAAGAACCACTACTCAAGATATGGAAAACCGGAAAGCCAAGGGCTATGCAAGCCACATGAACACAAGGCTGGCTCATTAGCACCAAGACATTTTGGTATATGCACAGAAGGGACACCACAGTGTACAGCATCCTATTAAGCAAAGCTAAGGTGAAATATATATTAAAAAAAAAAACTAGATGATGAACAAGATTTGAGCTGTGTTCTCACCAATCGTCAGGGTCAGCTTTAACAGCTTGATGGAAATAACTCTCAGCACGACTAGCATCTTTCTGTGTCTGCCATATCAGCTCAGCATAGAGTGACAGCACATTGCCATCACTCGGGTTAGCCAATATTGCTCTCCCACAGTAGTCCTCTGCTTTAGCAAAATCTCCCCTAACCTGTATAAAATTTTAGATGATCAAACTATGAGAAAAAAAAAAAAAGATAAGTTATATATATATTGAAGAAATATATCAAATGATTTAATCGAATCCCTTTATTTGGTTTGGAGAAAATTCAGTGATTGGCTGTGACAGTACCTCTTTCAAGAACTTGGCATAGTTTGAGAGTAAGAGAGAATTTCCTGGGTTTGCCTCGATCATCGTCTGATAATAAGCGTCCGTACTATCATGACCATGCCAACCGTTAGAATCATAGGACCCAGAACCAGACCCATCTCCACCATCCGATCCTTTTCCACCACCGCCACCATTCCCACCACCCACAACCAGCGTCGACAACACCCTATCCCTCTCCTTCTCCACCACCGTCACACACCCCTCCTCATCAGCCTCACCCAACCCAGAGCTCGACAACAACCTCTCTACCGCCCTCGACAAACGTGGCCGACCCACCCCTTGTTCTCCGTTCTCTTTGACCTTAGCTGGCTTCGGAGTAGTGGGTGGTTTGGTACTTGTACTGTTGTTCTTCTTCGGCACTGGTGCATCTCGGAGCTCCAACTCGGACAAAGATCGTGTTGCCGGACTCTTCAGTTGGTGATCATCAGAACCAAACGCCGCCGTCAAAGACAGCGATCTTGTCCTATAATGCCGAGGAACCAAATCAGACTCCGGTGATGATCCTGCCGAGTTGGCTATCCATGAATTCAAGATCGGAGTCGATGAACTCCTCAGGAGCATCCTTAAATCACAATTATTTTTAGAGAGAGAGAGAGAGAGAGAGAGGGGACGTCATAAAACCTCCTGCTCGTTCGTTGAAAGAGAGATTGGAGGTGGTGTTGGGGTTTTATAGAGGTGTGAACGAGTGTTGGGCTGTATTGAATACGGACCGTCCGATTGGAATCTAGTGGGGAAAGCCAGCGACAACTGAGGTCGTCAAAATTTGAGCCGAGACTATTAATCCAAACGATGCAATACAAATTAAACGGGTTTGGGTGAGATTTTAATAAGTTTGAGTGATAAAAGAGTTAACATATCAAACACATTTAATAAATAGGTGTATTGGGGTGAAACATGTCAAACCGTTTATCACATATTGATGGGACTTTTCTGAAATACTCCATGATGAAGACACGTGTCATCGATATTACCAAAACACTGTTGCTAAGATCAAGCACCATCGGCGCATAAAGGTCCTCGCCCCCGAGGTACTCATCATATAGGATCATGGCATTCAGTACGAGTTACAACCAACAAGTAATCTCGGTCTGATATGGTACCTCGGTCGGTATACATCCCTCGGTTCCGAGATGAGCCTTTCCTCGGTGCCGAGAGGTACCCCGTCCTGGACGTTTCCTCTACTCCAGGATAAGCTATTGACGTACAGGTCATTAGCCTAGGCTATTCATCATGACCTCGTCTTACACAATTAGTGTTAGAACGTACTAGAATGCAGGGGCCACAGCCAATGGGGGATGGACGCGTGGCGTATGATATCACATCGAAGACAGAGAAACCGCATGCCGTTGCTGACACGCGACTTGGGAAAGCAAACGATTAATTACACCATTCCCTTGATGAGACCGCATTCAATGCGGTAAGGCTCGGAAATGAAAGGCAATAAATGCTCCTAATACAGAGCATTTATTGCATCCTCCCCGAGAGGAGTACATTGTACCGTCGGCATCCCGATGACCCAGCATTGATTGCTCGGGACCCCGAGCAGTTAAGAAGAGAAGACATTCCTCATCAGAATCAGTGCGCACACTGCCTGTACCTAATGATCACCTACTGACTACACTGACAGCAATCATGAGCTTTTGAGGTATAAATACTCCTTGCAAAAGGCAAGACGGGTATGCAACAAAAAACTCTTTACTACAATACACACTCAGTGTTTTCTCCTTCCTCTCTCTTTCTCAAAGACTGACTAGATCGTCGGAGGGGATACGCCGGAAAACACTTCGGCGTCCTTCTAACTTGTTTTTCTTTGTTCCAGGAACCTCTTTCAGCCTTACTGGATCGTTCTTCCGCTCCCCCAGGGTCTCCCGTTGCCGTTCCAGGTTACCACCGGACCTCGCATGTTGTTCCAAGCAGCGTGGTTGGTCACTCAACTGGCTCACTCGAGTTCACCAAGGGAGAGATCTGTTCTCGTTTTTTATATTGTGCAGGATCTTGCACGCACACATATATTTACTCGTTTAAATAAAATTAATATAATAATAAATTAATAATTATTTTAAAAAATTAACAAGAAAAAAAGAAGTAAAAAAATTAATAAAAAAAAAAGTAAAATAGTAGATCAAAGACAAAGACAAGTCTTATTTATCCCACATTGAAAAATGAGGGGGATGAGGATGATTGAGTTGCCTATAAAAAGCAATGATATTTTACTCTTTTTTTTAAGCATTCAAGTCTTATTTGTCCCACATTGAAAAATGAGGAGAAATGAGGAGGATTGAGTTGCCTATAAAAAGTAATAGCCTCTTACTTTTTTTTTAAATTCTTCAAGTCTTATTTATCCCATATTGAAAAATGAGGGAAGATAGGGAGAGTTGAGTTGCCCATAAAAATTAATGGTCTATTATTCTTTTATTTTAAGCCTTCAAGTCTTTTTTTTTATGAGATTTGACTAAAAAATCTTTTTTTTTGAAATAAGTGCAATTGACAATAAAAAAATAGAGTATTAAAATTTGCTAATAATTTTTGTTTAAAATTAAACGGGTTAAACGAGTCGTGTCGTGTTACCCCTTTATTAAACAGGTCGTGTTCGTGTTAAGATTTTTTACTCGTTTATTAAACATGTCGTGTACGGATTTATATATTTTTTATCTGTCACCCATTTAACTCGACACGTTTGACACCCTTAGCGACAACAGTAGAGTAGCAGAGCACGAGGGTTTTAGTAAAGCTCGGAGGGTTTTGGTAAATCCACCGAGCGTGTTAAATTTGATCCGATACGAATTTAAATATGAATTATTATAAATTTAATATAATTATTAAATATATATATAATAAATAATTTAAATTAATATTTTAATTTTAAAAAAAAATTAAATAATTTTTTTTTTTGTAAATCTTAACACAAATATGATAAAAATAATAATAATATGACATAAATAACACGACATATAAATCACACCAACATGACACATCAACTATGCGGCTAGAAGAGCTTAGACGAGGTGGATGGACCCTAAGAGTGTATTTGGGTAATGAGAATGGATAGCGTAGAATTTCATTTTTTATAACTTAACCTATCCAAGTCAAACCCTCTCATTCACTTTAAAATTTTAGTTTTTTAATATATCTAATCTCAACCTTTGTTTGGGAAACAAAGGTGTAATTCAGTATGCCCATGAGTTACATAAATAATTTTGTAGTAATTTATCATTCTACTCATAACTCTATCCCTTTCAATTTAAATCAATTCTATCCTACGTTTGGATTGGTGGATTATTCTAATAAAATTATACATTTTTTGCATATACATAAAAAAATATAAAAATAAAATAATTTTTTTTTTTTAGGAAAGTTAATAATTTTTTTTTCAAACAAATCAACATTTTATTTCNTGAAAAATGAGGGAAGATAGGGAGAGTTGAGTTGCCCATAAAAATTAATGGTCTATTATTCTTTTATTTTAAGCCTTCAAGTCTTTTTTTTTATGAGATTTGACTAAAAAATCTTTTTTTTTGAAATAAGTGCAATTGACAATAAAAAAATAGAGTATTAAAATTTGTTAATAATTTTTGTTTAAAATTAAACGGGTTAAACGAGTCGTGTCGTGTTACCCCTTTATTAAACAGGTCGTGTTCGTGTTAAGATTTTTTACTCGTTTATTAAACATGTCGTGTACGGATTTATATATTTTTTATCTGTCACCCATTTAACTCGACACGTTTGACACCCTTAGCGACAACAGTAGAGTAGCAGAGCACGAGGGTTTTAGTAAAGCTCGGAGGGTTTTGGTAAATCCACCGAGCGTGTTAAATTTGATCCGATACGAATTTAAATATGAATTATTATAAATTTAATATAATTATTAAATATATATATAATAAATAATTTAAATTAATATTTTAATTTTAAAAAAAAATTAAATAATTTTTTTTTTTGTAAATCTTAACACAAATATGATAAAAATAATAATAATATGACATAAATAACACGACATATAAATCACACCAACATGACACATCAACTATGCGGCTAGAAGAGCTTAGACGAGGTGGATGGACCCTAAGAGTGTATTTGGGTAATGAGAATGGATAGCGTAGAATTTCATTTTTTATAACTTAACCTATCCAAGTCAAACCCTCTCATTCACTTTAAAATTTTAGTTTTTTAATATATCTAATCTCAACCTTTGTTTGGGAAACAAAGGTGTAATTCAGTATGCCCATGAGTTACATAAATAATTTTGTAGTAATTTATCATTCTACTCATAACTCTATCCCTTTCAATTTAAATCAATTCTATCCTACGTTTGGATTGGTGGATTATTCTAATAAAATTATACATTTTTTGCATATACATAAAAAAATATAAAAATAAAATAATTTTTTTTTTTTAGGAAAGTTAATAATTTTTTTTTCAAACAAATCAACATTTTATTTCATTTCTTAAAAATTGGTTACAGTGAGAGAAAAGATGAAATCACATGAATCATAAGAAATTAATAAAACCAAACACAAATTTACAAGAAGCAAAAAAGGACAGAATCCTTCACAACAAACTACTGCCTTAAGCACCATAACACCAAAATTTGTGGTAGCTTGCACTGGCAGAAGACCCACCATAACAGTAGCACCATCACAACAGCAGCACCAACACAGTAGTCCTCAAACAGCTTCAACAGACCCACCAACGCAACCTTCCATTTACTGAGAGAAATCAGTAAAGCACTCAGCCTTAATAGCAAAAGAAGCCAAAAAGTCTGTTATCATATTGGCCTCCCTCTACACATGCCTAAACTGGTATTGCAACTGCCCAAGCAACTCCCTTATCTGTTCCATAACTCCCTTCAATCTCCACGGAACTTCTGCTATTCCCAACACCATATGCACCAGCACTTGAGAATCAAACTCAAACAAAAATTAATAGCCCTCCAAACCATACTGCATTGTCAATTTTAAACCATCCAGCAATGCTAAGCACTCTGCTCTCCTGTTTGATCCAATCCCATAAAAAGCAGCAGCATCCAACAATACATGCCCCCCTTTAGAATTCCTTAACACCATCCCTCTGCTAAATTTCATTACATAGCTTCCATTATATGGATGCTTTCTTGAAAATGAGTGGTTGATTCATGGTGATTGAAGTATTACCCATTCATTCACCATTTAGTCTAGGAAAAAATGTAACAAAAGCTGCCATCTAGCCATACTCCAGCATCCTTGAATTTGGAAATTTCATGATCCAACACCTAGAACATGCCTGCACCTGACATGCGTACCTAACTGCAAGTTAGATAGCCAATAAATGACATACCCAACACCTAAAAAAAAAAATTGCAGCAAATAAATGACATTCAAACACATTGAACTATACTAAAAAAACAAATAAATAAAGAGAGAAGATGACACAGATAGAGATGCAGATGCAGAGGGATTCGTCGCTGAGTGGGTGGAGAAAGAGAGAGGGGCAAATATGTCCTGGGGGGGCGTAACCCATTGCTTGGGTTTGTTACCGAGGGAGGGGCTGGGTTAGCTGAGACCGGGCTATGGGGGTTAACCTTCAACTGTAGCAACCGGGTCAAGTACCCGGGATTTGTAGCCAATCTAAAAAATGTTTCCCAAACAAAGATTATATATATGGGTCCCACACCTGTTTTATTCCATCCAACTAGTGGATAACCCCCTTTATCCCACTACCCAAACACCCCCTGAGTTGACTGATGTGAGGTCAGATTTAAGAAAAGGGCCCCACAGTCAGCGTTTGTTTCAATCATAAAAGGCACACCACCCGCCGCCTCTTGCAAAACTTGGAATCAAACACCACCCTTCAACAGCGCTAAGATATTTTGTGCAGCAAAACGATACAAAAAAGAGTTCACGATTAATTAAAGACACTCATCATCGATCATGAAAAATATGGTATCAATTTCACTATTTTATGATCAAACACCACCCTTGNAATTTGTGCAGCAAAACGATACAAAAAAGAGTTCACGATTAATTAAAGACACCCATGATCGATCATGAAAAATATGGTATCAATTTCACTATTTTATGATCAAACACCACCCTTGAACTGTAGTGTTTAACCCATTCAGTCTTCTCTTTTCTCTAGTAATTCAAACACTTAGAATCTTCTTCTAATATAATTCACTGAAATGTGATGCAGGAGAAAATAGCAATAAATTCCAATTTTTCTTTCTAATCAAACTCCAAATTCCCTTTCTCATAAAAAGAAAGAGATGTCGTTCCTTTGGCTAGCTGCTCATCAGATAATAAGCTGAGTGCAACAATTACAAAGGAACCTCCTATGACTACTCACCTTCAAAGAATATAAATCATTCATCTCCTTACCTCTACCATTATGCCTATGTCACATTTCACATTGGGACCAGTGTGAGTAGACTATAAACAACCATTCAACTCCGACAAGCTACAACCATTCAACTCCGACAAGCTACAACCATTCGCACAATTAGGACCACAGTCTGNAGTAGACTATAAACAACCATTCAACTCCGACAAGCTACAACCATTCGCACAATTAGGACCACAGTCTGTCTTTAGCTCCAACTATTACCATCTTTATTCATATTCACAATTCTGTTGGACAACGTAAAGGTCGATCAGAAGAAACAAAAAACATGTTGAGAGTTCTCAAGTTAAGCAATATTACTGCATCTCCGCACTCCACTTTGTTATGAACAAAGACCACAAGGAAAATAAAACAGAACAAAATAGAAAAATATAACATAAATTTACGTGGATCAGCTTAAAAGCCTACTCCACAGGCGAAACACCATAACAAAATATCACTATCAACAAAAAAAGACTACATAAAATTCTCTAACCCAGAGAATAAAACCAAACATGGATGCCCAAAACTATGGCCAAAAAACTCAAAGGAAACTGAGTGGTCTATAATCTATTTATAAACCTAAAATACTTTGTCTCCTAATACAATAGAATTTCTAATTGGTCTTTTACTTGAAGTGAAATTCTAAGACATCTACCTTTCTAAATTCTTAAAGAGAACAAAGTTCAAATCAGTTTCCTATTAAGACTAGAATACAATACACCCAAAACAAATCTCCACCTTGTATTCCATCAAACAATCAAAACAAAAGCGAACGAAACTAACTACCTTCTCCACAAATCCCATGAGAGAATACAAATATCACAAGCATTCATAAAAAAAATCTCCACCTTGACTTGTATATCCACCAAGCCATCAAAACAAAAGTGAAATTTTCAACTGTTTTCTTTACAATAGCAAATTTATTGAATCTCCATCAGCGTTGATTATAGTATCTCATAAAAACTTTTGTCAAAAGATTCGTCATAGCAACGTCACGTATCTGAATCTGTCGTCGACTGAAATTATTCTAATCACCAAACTTTTCTATCTCGAATTTTACTATAGTCATCCCGAAACCAATAGCTCTGATATCATTTTGTTGAGAACAAAGACACAAGCAAAATAATACGGAACAAAATAGAACATAAATTTATGTGGATCGACTTAAAAGTCTGCTCCACGGGCGAAACGCAACAACAAACTATCACTATCAACAAAGGGAGATTACACAAAATTCTTTAACCTAGACAATAAAACCAATCATAGATGCCCAAAACTGGGGGCCAAAAACCTAAAAGAAACTGAGAGGTTTATTATCTATTTATAAATCCAAAATACTTTGTCTCCTAATACAATAGATTTTCTAATTGGTCTTTTACTTGAAGTAAAATTTTAAAACATCTACCTTTCTAAATCCTAAAGAGAACAAAATTCAAATCATTTTCCTATCACGACTTAAATACAAGACACCTACGACACACTTGATAATCAAACATAATACAATGCGTCTCACAACAAAATCGGCCATTACTAATCCTTTCAACTTGTCCACTGCACATTATCAAGGGCTTCCTAAGTCGATTTTCCAGGAATACGAGGGCAAACTTGTGGACAGCCTGAGTCACATCCTGGACAATGTGACTTCCACTCCAACGTGACAAACAGGGGAGAGGGAGAGGGAGAGGGAGAGGGAGAGGGGTAGCAAGTTCATACCCCATCAAAGCCATAGCTAGTCAAACGAGTGAGACAAAAAATCTCCCCGCCTGTCCTCAAGTAACTGTTCATGTTTCTCATCTAGCAGAACAGCATATTGCAAGGTTCAAAGAATCAAAGCCATGCTGAGGCATAGAATCCCCACCAGAAAACTTGATATTTATTACTGCTATCTTCTCAGTAGCAGTGATATTTTTGTTGTATAGCTATTCCTCTTGTCACAACGTCATGCCTAAGTTTCCAAATAATTACCAAGTACTCTATGAATTTGCAGACAAATTTACAATAAGTCACCACCCGCACCGGCGGCTCCCATTCCTCTTACAGGGTGCATGCTACAGCAGAGTAATTCCACAGAATGATTTGCTTATCTCAATTATTGGCCTAAGAATCTCCACACTTTTTCTTTTCTTCCAGTTGAGTGCCCCCACTAACACAAAACCTCAGCAATCCTACATGCTATACGTTTGAAGGAAGCATATGGATGCTAAATTGGACATAACAAACTGCTCTCTTCGTACTGTCTCTTTTTTTTTTTTTTCCTGACAAATAATGTCCCAAAATGTTACAGAAAATGGTTCAAAAAGTAAAATGAACATCATATAAGAAACAAGGATCATCTATATGAGATGTTCATATAGAGCATGTAGATCTTTTACGTATATATCTATTCTACTCCACTTATTTTGATACACACTCTTCTTTGATTATTATTTACAAGAACAAATGCGTACAAAGTCATCATCTAAATCGAGATCCTTTGTTTGATCCACCATTGTTCCTCCCATCCCATGCAGAAGCCCAGAAAAATAAGGACATCCAGAACAGAACAGCAAATAAGATCTGCAGAGTGTCTTGAAATGTAGAGAAAGTTGCTGCATTACCTGTTTCAAGAACAGCAGAGGATGGTGAAAACTGAGCTTCAGAGGACCTCAGCAACATTTGATTTTTGTTCCTAGGGAGGCCTAGAGTCATCGAACTGACCTTATCATCAGAAAGACCAATTAAAAATAAAATTTGATAATGTTTTGCTCTCATTGGAACCTATTATATCCAATTATTTAAAACCAGTAGCATGCAGTAAATTGTCATTAAAGAGACTTCCTATCATCAGAAAGAGCATTATTTGAGGGGAACTGTCCAGTGACACAACTAGGCCTCAACTAAACTTTCCTGTACTACAAAATAAATTTTCAGTAAGTTGAAAACTAAACTTCAAACAGCAGCTATATCAACTGTCAATGCCAATTCAATTACCAATAATCTCGCTAGTGAATGGAAACACCCACTATCAAGGCACCATGTTGTAGCATTTAAATAGCACGAATGGTGAGTCCTCCTTCTAGCATGTGTAGCCCCTTTGAGAGGCCTTAGTGCATCATGTTACAGGTTCTTCTAAACCTTGAAATAACAACTCTTCTCTGATGGCTCCATAGCAGAAGTTAGTTTTGCCCCTTAAAATCTGGCGGAGAATAACATGGGATTCCAAGCCCATCTTTCATGATTCTATGAATAGGTTAATTGTCCTCACTTACTGTGGTCACCAACATAAATACTAGACTCATCTTTCCAACCAGTCAAAAGGCAATGACCAAAACATGTGAGATTTTGGCCTCTTCAACAAATTTGGATACATCATAGAAAAGACATAACTAGCACAATACTACCGTAATAAAGGATATTTTTCAAATCTTCTTTTTTTGGGGGGGTGGGGGGTAGTGGTATCGCTCCCATTGAAGACGAGAGTGGGGTACAACAAGGCCATTTCTATCCACCGCCCTTCTCACAGAGCCATCCGTGGACGTTACTGCTCATACAGCTCCCAGCAGCAAGCAGTTAACCTTCCTCTACAAGGAATGGAAGTGTACATGAATCAACATCAAATAGAGGGTAGTGGTATCGCCCCCATCTGTCCCCTAGATACATCATTGCTGCTCCTTAGTAAGAGCATCCATAACTATTTGTAGAAACGACATCATAGATAGTCTTTACATTGAGTGAACCATGAATCCATACTCTTGCATGTAGCCTCTCTACATTCATGTAGCATCATTAGTTTGGATTCTAGAACTCGGAAGAGTTTTCTGTTTCTACCTCCGCAACAGAGATGGACCCGTGGTGTTCTCACGCAACAACATAACAACTAATGTAAATCACAAAAAAAATAAGAGCCCACAATCACTGATTATCTCCTCCATCCACATAAGACTAAATATTTTCAGCATTTGATACAGAACATTCCACCTATCCAAACCGAATATTCCATAATACATACGAACAGATACGTATTTGAAAGTACAACAGCATTCGAAACAATACACAAATAAAAATAGAATCTCCCAGATAAAAACTATCAGAACGTATACCTGAAGACGAAGTTGGTTCGTCTCCGGTCGGTGGATCAGATTCCGGCGGCGACGGAGGACCAGGACTAGCTGCGCGGCACCGGCGATACCATGAATTGGGTCTAGTGGGAAACAGTAGGGATGAACGGTGAAGATGAGCAGTAAAAGAGAAGAAGTGATTGGGGGAGTAACGACAGAGGAGGAAAGGAGTGCATTGGATTGTGGGACTGGAGGGAGTGTAGATGGGAGGAGAAAGACAAGAAGCCATTTATGGGGAAAATGTGTCTCTTGGGTTAGCTTTTATACGGTCTGCAAAAATTGGGCCAATTTGGGCTAATGAGTGTGGACCAATTTGGGCTAATTAGTTTGGTCCAATAACCAAAGTGGGCTATGTGCATTTAAGTAGGGTTATTAATCGGGCCAAACTTTGCAAACTTCAATTCAACCCTGTTGGAGCTCGTTTCTCTAAACGGGCTTAAATTTTGCGTAAATTGTAACGGGTACACCAAATTAGACTTATTTAACAAAAAGTACACATTAAAAAATGTATGGTTATTAAATATTTAATTTTGATACTTATTTCTATCCAGGTACATAATTTGAATTTATCTATTTTTATTGTGACATTTTTGTTCTCTATTAATTCATGTGTATTTAATGCATCACTTTTCTTTGGAAAGTGGTGCATTAAACATCTTCTAATTTTATGGGAGAACTTTAATACATCTATATATATGTATACATGAATCCAAATTTTAAAATTCAAACAAGTATATATATACGTTTTTATATATACATAAATACATACATATTTATGTGTGTATATATATATATATATCTAAATTTAAATCTCTTATCTAAATTTTGAATTAATAAGTTNATATATTTATGTGTGTATATATATATATATCTAAATTTAAATCTCTTATCTAAATTTTGAATTAATAAGTTAAATTTACAAATATCTGTGTGTGTGTGTGTGTAAATTTATGAATAGTGTTATTTAGATTTAACTTATTAATTTAATTTATTAACCAATTTTTTATAGTTATTGAATTGACAGTAGACTCATTTAATATTATGATGGGTTAATAATCCAATAGCTGTAGTACATTAAATTAATAAAATAAGTCCAAGTTGCATTGTTCTTCATTTATTCATAAGATTTATATCAATCCCAAAACCTAAAATAAACCAACTCATAATCTTTATTTCTCTATTTTTTTTTATTTAAATATGTGAATACCAAAACTTTTATCAAATTTAGGATTGCAAATAATGTGGTATTTTGATAGTCATTGGATAATCAGTGACGGTCAGTAGGACCCATTAATCTACTATGCACATTGATTTATTAAAAAATATTAATAAAAATTTTGATAAGTGAATCTTTGACCAATTGGTCACTCCACGTCTTCTTCAAAATCACAAAATTAGGGTAAATCTCATAAAAATGTCCCTTGAACAATGCCCTTCATTATAAATTGTGTCCTAAATTTTTAATTATCGCATTTTACTTTTAAAGTATATAATTTATTTCAATCGACCCCTTGCATTAAATGAGACAAAATTAACGGTCAATATTAACATAATTTATCTCATTTAACTGTTAATTTTAACAAAATTTGTCTCATTTATCAATTAATCTTGATGAAAAGGGTATATTGAAACAAATACATAGTTTAGAGGACAAATTGAGACAATTGAAAGTTAAAGAAATAATTTAAATTTAAATTCATAATTCAGGGACACAATTTAAAATTAAAGGTATAATTCAAGGGGCATTTATGAGATTTACCCTCAAAATTAGCTGGAACAATTTTGTTTAAACTCAATATAGATTAATTAGCAATAACTTCGTATCTAAAAATACTATTCAATATCAAAAATAGAAACGATCTTACAATATTTGTATTTTAAATAATAATTTATTTTTTTTATTTACATAATTTAAAATTAAATAATAATTTAATTTTTTTAGGTAAGTGTGGATTGATGACGTTGTTTAACATTGAAGAGTGTGTTAATTGAGAGTAAATATTCAATATAACGGTGACACCACGTCATCACTGTCATGTGGTGTCACCACTCAATTAAAAGACTTGAAATAGGTAAAATAAACTCTATTATTTTAATAACTATTAATAATCATCACATCAATCTGTAACACATAAAATTAATAGAATCCATTTTACATATTTGTTATCTTCTAATTGGATGGTGACACCATGCGGTGATGGTGATGACATTGTGTCGTCGTTGGAATGAATATTTTCTTATTAATTGGGTTGTCTAGTGTTGGGGGTCGTGCAAAAAAATTGATGTTTTAGGGTATAAAAAAAAATTGGGATAAATTTTATATTACTCTTTGATCAATGTAAATGAAGGTTGAATCGACCTGAATTGTTATTATGGTTTTTATAAGTTGAGAATTATTTTCTAACCGCAAAAAAAATATTAGATAGATAATAACACCCCTCATTTTTCTTGATACTAACTAGAGACCCATTGGGAAAGTCACCAGACTCCTCGGAAACCACGGTAATTTTGACTTATTTGAAACTCAACAAGTTTTAGAGAATCCACCCAGAAATTCCATCTCTCTTTCGGTTGTCCTATTTTACAACACCCATTTCCCTTCCCTCTGCATCAAGTTGGGATATGGGTAGAAAGAACCACAGCCACAGGTGCAGAGCTAGCAACAACATGAATGTCACAACTAGAAAACATTATATTATGATGCTGCTGATCATAATAATAAGCTTCTGCAACCACACAGTCCTTTCAGACAAGGTTCAAGGAAGCATCAAGAATAGACTGGGAAACGGGAAGAGCATGAGAGTCCACTGTCAATCGAAAGACAATGATCTTGGCAACCAGACTGTCGCCGAGGGGAGTGAATTTGGGTGGGATTTCTCTCCTAATATATGGGGAACCACCCTTTTCTACTGCGACATGCAATGGGAAAGAGTACAAGAATACCCTTTTGATGCCTACTCTTTTGCAAGGGACCATGTTCGATGTAAGACTCAGTGTTCATGGTTGATGGCAGTGGAAGGAGTTTATGGTTTCAATGGAGAGACTGGGTTGTGGGAGTTTATGTATCATTGGCCAAATTGACTGGGAAAAAATATTGGAAGGTAAAGGATTAAAATATCATCTCTCGTGTGAAAGTAAAATGAATCGATCGGGTGGATCTATATGCTCCTTGGTAGTGAGACAAGGTGTGGCGCAATGCATCGTCGACGAACCCTAAGATGATTGAAATAGTTTGCTGGCACCCTTGTTGTTATCAGATAGTCATTGAAGAATTATTAATCTCGTTTGCATCATCATTAATCATGGCAGACTATGTAAGATTTGAGTTCCGGGATTTATATACTGGAAAAAACCTTATAATATAGTGTTTTTTTTGGGTTCTCATGGGCATGGTATTTCTTTTATAAATTGAATATGATCTGCAAGCAGAACTAGGAAAGCATGGCAAAGGCAAAGACACTTTTGATTTTCAACTTATTAAAACATACTGATGGTACTTTGTTTCAACTTCCAATCACCAAGCTTTCACTTTTTTGTGCAACACTAAAATTCAGTGCAATATCAGCAAGCTGAGAAATTTCGAATTACAAAACCATTTCTTAATTAGTTTTCATCTACATTCTGAAATTATAGAAAATCATAATTGCCAAGTTTCTGAATTTTCATTAACTATACTTTTTTTGTTGATTGGTTTCTCAAATTAAGTCTAAGTAGTATTTTTCTCACAAAAAAAAAAATCATCCGTTTCCTGGATCATGGAAAGCAAGTTTGAAGAATGTTGGCCTGCGACGAACCTATGCTCATCTCAATTAATTTTTTCTTTGGTCTGGTCAAAAATATGTCATTAATGTCGGGACTAAAGTATTCATAAGAGATAAATTTTTCATGAACTATCCCCAAAAAATTGTTGAAATTTGAAGTTACAACCTTTAAATGTATAACTCATTATTATTATCAGTTAAATTAATGAGAGTCTTTAACAGACGACTTATCAACCAGTGGATTGCAACCAATAATGTTTCGGACAATTAACTTCCAAAAAAAAAAACATATCAAAGACAAAACTACTCTAAGAATACAAAGGACTTTAGATATTTGCTTGTGACTGTATTCTAACCGGGTACATCTTTGCCCAGCTGGTTGAATGTTTTATGAATGATCATCGGGTCATCGAGACATGACATCTCCATGTTTTGGTTGTATTTACGACACTCAGACCACCTTTACTTACATGTACTTACGACATGTCTTTTCNCAAAATTTTTATTATGGTTTTTATAAGTTGAGAATTATTTTCTAACCGCAAAAAAAATATTAGANCTGAATTGTTATTATGGTTTTTATAAGTTGAGAATTATTTTCTAACCGCAAAAAAAATATTAGATAGATAATAACACCCCTCATTTTTCTTGATACTAACTAGAGACCCATTGGGAAAGTCACCAGACTCCTCGGAAACCACGGTAATTTTGACTTATTTGAAACTCAACAAGTTTTAGAGAATCCACCCAGAAATTCCATCTCTCTTTCGGTTGTCCTATTTTACAACACCCATTTCCCTTCCCTCTGCATCAAGTTGGGATATGGGTAGAAAGAACCACAGCCACAGGTGCAGAGCTAGCAACAACATGAATGTCACAACTAGAAAACATTATATTATGATGCTGCTGATCATAATAATAAGCTTCTGCAACCACACAGTCCTTTCAGACAAGGTTCAAGGAAGCATCAAGAATAGACTGGGAAACGGGAAGAGCATGAGAGTCCACTGTCAATCGAAAGACAATGATCTTGGCAACCAGACTGTCGCCGAGGGGAGTGAATTTGGGTGGGATTTCTCTCCTAATATATGGGGAACCACCCTTTTCTACTGCGACATGCAATGGGAAAGAGTACAAGAATACCCTTTTGATGCCTACTCTTTTGCAAGGGACCATGTTCGATGTAAGACTCAGTGTTCATGGTTGATGGCAGTGGAAGGAGTTTATGGTTTCAATGGAGAGACTGGGTTGTGGGAGTTTATGTATCATTGGCCAAATTGACTGGGAAAAAATATTGGAAGGTAAAGGATTAAAATATCATCTCTCGTGTGAAAGTAAAATGAATCGATCGGGTGGATCTATATGCTCCTTGGTAGTGAGACAAGGTGTGGTGCAATGCATCGTCGACGAACCCTAAGATGATTGAAATAGTTTGCTGGCACCCTTGTTGTTATCAGATAGTCATTGAAGAATTATTAATCTCGTTTGCATCATCATTAATCATGGCAGACTATGTAAGATTTGAGTTCCGGGATTTATATACTGGAAAAAACCTTATAATATAGTGTTTTTTTTGGGTTCTCATGGGCATGGTATTTCTTTTATAAATTGAATATGATCTGCAAGCAGAACTAGGAAAGCATGGCAAAGGCAAAGACACTTTTGATTTTCAACTTATTAAAACATACTGATGGTACTTTGTTTCAACTTCCAATCACCAAGCTTTCACTTTTTTGTGCAACACTAAAATTCAGTGCAATATCAGCAAGCTGAGAAATTTCGAATTACAAAACCAATTCTTAATTAGTTTTCATCTACATTCTGAAATTATAGAAAATCATAATTGCCAAGTTTCTGAATTTTCATTAACTATACTTTTTTTGTTGATTGGTTTCTCAAATTAAGTCTAAGTAGTATTTTTCTCACAAAAAAAAAAATCATCCGTTTCCTGGATCATGGAAAGCAAGTTTGAAGAATGTTGGCCTGCGACGAACCTATGCTCATCTCAATTAATTTTTTCTTTGATCTGGTCAAAAATATGTCATTAATGTCGGGACTAAAGTATTCATAAGAGATAAATTTTTCATGAACTATCCCAAAAAATTGTTGAAATTTGAAGTTACAATCTTTAAATGTTCGTTATTATTATCAGTTAAATTAATGAGAGTCTTTAACAGACGACTTATCAACCAGTGGATTGCAACCAATAATGTTTCGGACAATTAACTTCCAAAAAAAAAAACATATCAAAGACAAAACTACTCTAAGAATACAAAGGACTTTAGATATTTGCTTGTGACTGTATTCTAACCGGGTACATCATTGCCCAGCTGGTTGAATGTTTTATGAATGATCATCGGGTCATCGAGACATGACATCTCCATGTTTTGGTTGTATTTACGACACTCAGACCACCTTTACTTACATGTACTTACGACATGTCTTTTCAGGAAAAAAAAAACACAAAACACAACTACAGTTACATAATTATTATTATTTTATATATAAACCTTAAATCGAATGCAAATGCATGTTTAATGATCATCATCATATGATAACTTCAATATATGTAATATATATATATATATATATATAAAATATTTCACTACAAATCATGAGATGAGAGAGAATGAGATACAATATAACAGGGCTACTAAACTTATTGCCCAACTACATATGATATAGATTATAGGGAGGTGAGATGATAAAATGGTGAATGCATCAGCTCAGGGGTGAAAGAGCTTGTCTCCACATATGCACTTCCATGAGAGGAGGTAATAGCTATCATCTTCTCTATGAGATGATTCTCTGTAACCCTTCCTTTGGTCATGAGAAGGAATGACCAGAGTAGCCTTGCAAGGTCTGCAATTCATGCACTTGTCAACACAACCAGGTGGCCTTGAACCCAGCAGCATGTTCCTTCGCTGCAGAGTTTCGCTGTAACTTGATGACACCCTCTGAACTGCTCAAATGAACAGCAGAGAGAGAGAGAGAGAGAGAAATTAGACATGCATGTATGCTTGCTAGTTTTACTACATGAAGAANATGCTCATCTCAATTAATTTTTTCTTTGATCTGGTCAAAAATATGTCATTAATGTCGGGACTAAAGTATTCATAAGAGATAAATTTTTCATGAACTATCCCAAAAAATTGTTGAAATTTGAAGTTACAATCTTTAAATGTTCGTTATTATTATCAGTTAAATTAATGAGAGTCTTTAACAGACGACTTATCAACCAGTGGATTGCAACCAATAATGTTTCGGACAATTAACTTCCAAAAAAAAAAACATATCAAAGACAAAACTACTCTAAGAATACAAAGGACTTTAGATATTTGCTTGTGACTGTATTCTAACCGGGTACATCATTGCCCAGCTGGTTGAATGTTTTATGAATGATCATCGGGTCATCGAGACATGACATCTCCATGTTTTGGTTGTATTTACGACACTCAGACCACCTTTACTTACATGTACTTACGACATGTCTTTTCAGGAAAAAAAAAACACAAAACACAACTACAGTTACATAATTATTATTATTTTATATATAAACCTTAAATCGAATGCAAATGCATGTTTAATGATCATCATCATATGATAACTTCAATATATGTAATATATATATAAAATATTTCACTACAAATCATGAGATGAGAGAGAATGAGATACAATATAACAGGGCTACTAAACTTATTGCCCAACTACATATGATATAGATTATAGGGAGGTGAGATGATAAAATGGTGAATGCATCAGCTCAGGGGTGAAAGAGCTTGTCTCCACATATGCACTTCCATGAGAGGAGGTAATAGCTATCATCTTCTCTATGAGATGATTCTCTGTAACCCTTCCTTTGGTCATGAGAAGGAATGACCAGAGTAGCCTTGCAAGGTCTGCAATTCATGCACTTGTCAACACAACCAGGTGGCCTTGAACCCAGCAGCATCTTCCTTCGCTGCAGAGTTTCGCTGTAACTTGATGACACCCTCTGAACTGCTCAAATGAACAGCAGAGAGAGAGAGAGAGAGAAATTAGACATGCATGTATGCTTGCTAGTTTTACTACATGAAGAAAGGAATGAAGAACAAAAAAGAAAAAAAGGTTTCTATAAAAAATGAACTCGAAGAATCAAAAAACAAAAACACCCATTTTGTGTTTTCCACTGTAAATGAGTAATGATAATCTTAAATGGTTTTGTATATACTAAAATGGTTTGATCATGCTACGTAAATGGGGCTGAATCGGGTGACACTTTTTACCTGATCTGGAGATAGAAAAGATGAGAATCAGAGTGACTGCAACTCTGAGGCCAAGTGGGTAGTTTCTTGATGGAGCCATCAGTTCAGTGTTGATGAAGTTGATGTGTTGATGGTATCAACTTGATACTAAGAGAGAAAGAAATAGGAGATCTTCTGAGGAATTTGGCTAGCTGTTTTAAAATGGAAGAAATAGTTTGAAGTTTAAGTATATATGTTCACATTCAGGAGACAAAGGCCAAGTACTGTTTCCAGTAAAAGAGACAGTTCTCTGATGCCGAGGGCTTTCTTCACCATTTCAATGCTTCTCGGCCATAGAAAATTGTATTTTTTTATCTTTAGTCTTTTTGGGAAAACGTTGCACTGACTTTAGCCCTACCCTAAAGTTTTTAGTGAAGGTCTGAACTCTGTTAAGTGACTATTTGTTTATCTTCCACCAAACAGACTTTGCTTCCAAATTTACCCACAAAACGACAAAGGATTTTGCTTCCAATGGGTGACTCCAATTACCTAGTTACCCTCATTGATCAACCATTGTATGCCAAAATTCAAGACTTCTATACATTGGGTAGATGTTATATTATATGCCTTACTAAATTGTATTGGATACACTTGTTTTAAATGGAAACACTACAAAGTAATATAACGTGATATTACCATTACATTAAATATTTTTTCAGACACCTCACTCTTAAGAAGGGGTCAAATGTGTGTTTGATACATCTCCTCCATTGCTTAAGTCAAACGGTGTGTGTGTGTGTGTGTGTGTGTGTGTGTGTGTGTGTGTGTGTGTGTGTGAGTGTGAGAGAGAGAGAGAGAGAGAGAGAGAGAGAGGATATGAGTGCTATTGTGTAAATTGAATCACACATGCATACTTGAGGTACCTTGAAGGATGTTGACATGGAACTTCGATAGGTCTAACAATTTTTTTGGAGTGAAATCCTCTTGCTAGTCCACGTGTACAATAGGAACGTTACGTTAGTGATTGTCTCCTTGTAGTATGGCCTCGAGTTGTGTATTTATGATGCTTAGGGACAACCTACACGTGCTCGAGAGGTTGAACACTATAATGATTACCTCGCTTAGGGACTGAACATTTAATGAGGCGCGGAGAGAATTTAACGAGGATCATCTTGGGGCACCCCCCAATTGGTCTATATAAGTGAGGGTGATTCCACTATTGACAGGATCTAGTGTTGATCCCCACATAGGGTAACGACGTAGCTAATCATTCTTTATCATTAGTCATTTTGGGTGACATCAATGGATCCTTTTGTTAGAGTCAAGTCAGCCGCATTGCCCTCGCCTAGGGTACGATGTCCCCGACCGTCCTAGCGATCAACAACTCTAAGGATGTCTTTTGGTTTGANAAGAGGTCTGTCAAACATTTAATGAGGCGCGGAGAGAATTTAACGAGGATCATCTTGGGGCACCCCCCAATTGGTCTATATAAGTGAGGGTGATTCCACTATTGACAGGATCTAGTGTTGATCCCCACATAGGGTAACGACGTAGCTAATCATTCTTTATCATTAGTCATTTTGGGTGACATCAATGGATCCTTTTGTTAGAGTCAAGTCAGCCGCATTGCCCTCGCCTAGGGTACGATGTCCCCGACCGTCCTAGCGATCAACAACTCTAAGGATGTCTTTTGGTTTGACACTGTTCAGTTTGATTACATTCAACTTATGAAGTATCTTCTCGGTTTGAAAACGCTTGGAACACTAAATTCAATTGACGGGAGGTCATCTTAGTACACGTGTGTTTCAATGATAGGTCCACTGACTTAGGTCCGGCCAATAATTGTCCTGCCACGATTGAGAACTAATGCCACGGTGCTTTCAAATTTCCCATTTTGGCTCCTTATTGCTCGTGATAGATCACCACTCACCAGTAACTAGACTAAACATGTAGTACGAATGCATGAAAAACCAAACAAACCCCATCACTGCAAAGGATAGTGTCATTTGCAAAGAAGTACTTTAGAGTTTAGAGCTTTCTCCAAGTGGCATCCAATAGTCTGATAAAAAAAAAAGAAAAAAAGACAAAAAAAAAAAAGGAAGGATCCAACAGCAATAATTTAAGGAGAGTTCCACAGCAGTATCAAAAAGTATTTTTATTTTATTATTTTTATAACTAATAATTATAGATCACCCTATCTAAAATAATGGTTGAAATTGATAGAGTTAGGATGCAAAGTTTGGTATAGAAACTTTTTTTTTTTTTTTTATAGTAAGAAATGTTCAGTCCAATACCTCGATTAATTCCTTATTCAATACAATCAAAAATAGATGATCCATTCAACTGTAGCTTAATTCACAAAACTTAATTATTCACTCCTTTTCTCTGTCAAAAAGCACAAAATAAATTGTTCAGATTTGAAGTCACTGAGGGGGTGGAGTGGGGTGGGAGGTGGTGGGGTGGGGTATTCTAATCTAATCTAATCAAACGTCAGACATTGCATTTGCATCTGCATCTGCATTTCGTACATTACAGTCCCACCTGAAAAGACCTTGCCTTTCACGTCTCTTTTTACAGGTATTTAACTGTTCAAATCATGCCCTTAACGTCATTGGTATTCAGCTGTCGGTTTCTATTTTAGAATTTACATGACCATGATCTTAACCTGCAAAAAACACAATGGTTTGTCCTCCACATTCAGTATATGTATTGTCAAATGTATTGCATTTTAGTCCTTTCTTTTTTTTTTTTTAATAAGAAACACACGGAATTTTGGTCCTGAATCCCCATTGCGTGACCATTGTTAAGATTAATCAAAATTGACCAAAATCAGCAAAAAATCAAATGAGAAGGAGATACATATCATTATCGGTTAAGTGGTAAAATCGAATCCAATTCTCGTCCTCTTATGCTCGACCAATCTCCTGGATCTGAATGCTGCATGAGCTATGGTCAAGTTTGCAGTGAAACGAAGTCTCACATGATCCCAATCAAGACGACAATCAAAAAGACGATAATCACATTGACTCTGATGCACTTTCAATGCGTATTCAGACGCCATGGGCAGAGGAAGCTTTATAATCGGATTCATTGAAAGGCACAATCTAATTGTTCTCGGTGATTACACAAACTTTTCTCAGATCAACTACTTGTTAAGCAACTCGAGTTCTGCAACAGCCGAGGTAGGTTCTAGAACATTTCAACCAACCATCAAAAGTCTCTAGCTTCAGCTTTCTCAATCATACATCCCTTCCTGTTCCCAAATGTCCACAAGGAAATCGACCATTTCCTGTTAGTTATGAGAAAAAGAGAGGAGTTATAGTGGGTCACAGGAAAAAGGTTAGACTGAACTAGAACCATGCTGTGAGGACCAAGACTTACGGATAGAGGGGCGGGCTTGGGGAAAGGCTTGTTGCTCCCAAGCAAACTATCATAGGTTGCATTCCAACTGCAAAACCAAAAAAATTTAAAGATGCAGAGACAGTGAGTGTTGACTAAAAATATAACAAAAATGCCCAAGCCTAAATCAAAAGAGGATAAGTATACTGTATGGAGGAAGGATTTTAATATGACTCTACAGGCAACATTGCTTAGCAAATCTAATGAAAGCTGGCATTGCATAAGGTACGTGAGGCATGCCAGCATCTATGTATGTTCTAACAATTCAGGAGCTGGAAGCAATGTTTCTCATAGAAGATGATTGCCTTCCAAACAAAAATGGTGCATTGTACATCCCATTGGTACAAAACAATAGACATTATGCAGACATCCATGGAAGTGCTAAAAATTTGGTTCAATGTGCCTTAATGTCAGTAACATGATGCTAGCATGAGGAGCAAATGGCATAAGCTATAAAACCAGAACAATTCTATTTTTTCCTAAAAAGTCCAAGTCTCTCATACTTTGTGTGATGCAAAGAGGAAGTGAATAGCCATGAGGTGAGGAGCGAGAGATAAAGCTAATGCCAAAATGAATTAAAAACTAAAAAGAAATGTAAAATTTTGTCAATCAAGAATGACTTAAAAATCACCAGTGTTTAGTTAATCTACATGACTCACCATTTTGATGTGGTCACAGGAAAAATAATAAAGGTACATAAATGCGCTAGTTCATGTCCAGTGGCATTCATAACCCAAACTGTACTCCACAAAAAATGAGGCAGAAGTATGCCTTTGAAAGATCACACATGGTCGCATGGCTTCAATTTTTACTATTCCGTAACAATTGTACACATCCAACAAATAATACACCAGCAATTGTGCCAACAACACAAAGTTAAAACATACACAGCAAAACATCAGAGAAACAGCAGAAAAGTGTTAGCTAACTTCAATGCAAACTTTACAGTCCTCTGATGCAAAACCAACAGAGACAGATGGACCAAGAAGTATCAAATTAAATCCTAAACAAGAGAATGCAAATTAAACTAACCAAGGCCTCTCACTATAGTCATAGACTATTTGTTCAAATGGACCCTGACAAAGAGTTCATGAGGTCCTACTCATAATTTTTAGGCAAGAGGAATCTCTTAAATGTAAAAAGTAAAAATCAAATCACAACCACCTAAAAATCAAAACAAATTGAACACCAGACCGAAAGCAAAGTGCATAGAGAGGGTCATTGGCAGTTTAAAATNTTGACTCTGATGCACTTTCAATGCGTATTCAGACGCCATGGGCAGAGGAAGCTTTATAATCGGATTCATTGAAAAGCACAATCTAATTGTTCTCGGTGATTACACAAACTTTTCTCAGATCAACTACTTGTTAAGCAACTCAAGTTCTGCAACAGCCGAGGTAGGTTCTAGAACATTTCAACCAACCATCAAAAGTCTCTAGCTTCAGCTTTCTCAATCATACATCCCTTCCTGTTCCCAAATGTCCACAAGGAAATCGACCATTTCCTGTTAGTTATGAGAAAAAGAGAGGAGTTATAGTGGGTCACAGGAAAAAGGTTAGACTGAACTAGAACCATGCTGTGAGGACCAAGACTTACGGATAGAGGGGCGGGCTTGGGGAAAGGCTTGTTGCTCCCAAGCAAACTATCATAGGTTGCATTCCAACTGCAAAACCAAAAAAATTTAAAGATGCAGAGACAGTGAGTGTTGACTAAAAATATAAC